GTCATTCACGTTAAATTCAGGTTTCACATTTAAAACTAAAACAGACCTACAGCCCCACCCAGTGTGTCCAGTGGTTAGAGTGTCCATCTCTGCACCAAAGGGTTTCTGGTTTGACTCCTGGTCAAGGGCTCGTCCCTGGGTGGCAAGTTCAATCCTGGCCCAGATGGGGGGGGGGGGTGCCCCGAGGGAGAAGAGTGGAAGGCAACCAATCAATGTCTCTCTCACACATTCACACATTGCCCCTCCCCCCCTCTCTTCTTCCCTCCCTTACACTTTCAAACACACACACACACAACAACAAAAAAACAAAAAACACCAAACCTACATTTCAATTATCCCTAATCACACCCACCTCCTTCATTCCACCCCTACCTCCTGGCATTACCTTCTCCCCTGTGCTGATTTTCTTTTTTAATTTAATAAACCTACCACCCTTAAAAAAAAACGAAAACACCCAGCCTGCCTTTGGCCCTGCCTGCCCCCAGGCTCTCCCCCTCCCCTCCTCCCTGCCAGCTCAGCTTTCTGAAGGCACACCTGCCCTCCTGCTCCTCCCCCTCCCTGCTCCACCCCTGGGCCCAGAGCCCTGGCTGCCCCTCTAGGAACCTGCGCTCACCTCGCTCACCACCTCAGACCTGGCGACACCCAGGGCGCTGTCCTTGCTGGACGGGTTGCCATTCCTTCCCCTTTGAAGCCCACGCCCTCGGCGATGGTGAGGCCAGCGCTCCGAGCTTCCTTCCTTCTCCGCTCCCTAACGGGCACCGTGATGACTCAGCCTCACCAGGCAGGGGCAGGGGCAGGGGCAGGAGAGAGGCCTGAGCTGCCCAGACCCGCTCCTACAGCATCCTGCGTCACCAGCCCACCCAGGACACCATCGCTCCCTCCTCCTCGCTCCCTCCGGACGGTAGTCACCCAGTATTTACCGGGCACCACGTGCCAAGTAACGTCCTGGACCCTGGGCAGCCCGGCCTTGGGGAGAGGTGGACCCACCTCCAACATGCGCCCGCCTGCCCTCCCTCTGTGTTTCCTTTCGGGGCAGCAGCTCTGTGTGATCTGGGAGGGAAGCGAGCTGAAAGCTTGTCTCCAGGAGGGGCCGGGCTGGGGGTTTAGCTGTTTTTAAAGGCCAGTTTCATCGCCTCCATTCTCTTTTGTTTTCTCCCGAAGGCACCAGACTGTGGTGCACAGGGGGCCGGTTTGCAGTCCTTTAACAAGTTAACAAACAATGGGGAAGAGACAGACACCCCGGAGCAGGATGGACAGACACCCAGGAGCAGGATGGACAGACACCCCAGGAGCAGGATGGACAGACACCCAGGAGCAGGATGGACAGACACCCCCAGCAGGATGGACAGACACCCAGGAGCAGGATGGACAGACAATCCCGGAGCAGAATGGACAGACACCCAGGAGCAGGATGGACAGACACCCAGTAGCAGGATGGACAGACACCCCCAGCAGGATGGACAGACACCCCTGGAGCAGGATGGACAGACACCCAGGAGCAGGATGGACAGACACCCAGGAGCAGGATGGACAGACACCCAGGAGCAGGATGGACAGACACCCAGGAGCAGGATGGACGGACACCCTGGAGCAGGATGGACAGACACCCAGGAGCAGGATGGACAGACACCCAGGAGCAGGATGAACGGACACCCTGGAGCAGGATGGACAGACACCCAGGAGCAGGATGGACGGACACCCAGGAGCAGGATGGACAGACACCCAGGAGCAGGATGGACAGACACCCAGGAGCAGGATGGACAGACACCCCCAGCAGGATGGACAGACACCCAGGAGCAGGCAGGAGGGCGGGAGCCCGTTTCTCCTCCCTCCCCCTTTCTGCTTCTCTCTGGTCGGAATGTACACATTCGTTAGGGTCTGCGCAATTGAAGCTCTTGCCCTTATTTCTCAAGGAGCTCCCTGTAGACGTCATACTTGCGCACTGATGAAATATTTGTCCCAAAGAGGCGGCATAGCCGGGAAATAAAAACTTAGCAATGAAAAAAACACAAAAAACCAAACACCTTGTTCGCTGGAACGAAAGGGTGCTCCAGCTTAACTCAAAAACACAGACTGAGTTGCCTGACTTTCCTGTTAAATCCGTTTATTATTCCAGAAAGCAGGCAAGCTGGCTTCCTCTGAAACCTACATTGGATTCTTCTAAAACACAAACATGTCAAGGAGAGCGCCACACAAACCAGTGAAAACACCTTCAAAAAAAATAAATTTCCTAAAAGAGAAAGACACAAACAAGTCCTGTGGGGCATCTGACTTGTGGGGTTTCCTTTTATTTTTATACTTATTTCCCCACCCTCAGGCTTCAAGCTTGAATTCTGAGTACACGTCTCAAAATAGTGTCAGCGCATGAAAAATATCAGTGACCCTCCCTCTGCAAACAAACTCCTCCGGTGTCTCTGTGGTCCGCCTGTTCCCCTCTGGAGCTCTGTATGGGCGCAGTCAGGTTTCTTCTCAATTGGCTTCCAATTTGACTTGTAAAATAACGGAATGTTTCTATTTTTGACAGGTTGTCCCCCCAAATAAAAACAAGCCTTTCTCTTCGGTGAGACACAGAAAGGACCGTGTGTGCCTGTCCCGCCTCCCCTGGAGGGCAGCAGCCACCCTGCTCCGCGCCTCGAACCCGGGCAGCGGCGGTGTGTGCGGGAACAGAGCCCGGCGAGGCGGCCGGGGATTTTCCAGGAGGAGGAGGCCGGGCCGGAGGCCGGTGTCCGCCCCGGGCCGCAGCCGCAGCGCGGGGGACGGCTGCCCCCTGGCGGCAGGTGGGCGCCACGGCCCGCGCGTCCCCTGCGCAGGGGGCGCGGCCAGGACTCCAGGGGGCGCGGGAAAGCACGGCTGGACCCGGGTCCCGGACGTCCCCCCAGGATCACGTCCCCCCAGGATCACGTCCCCCGAGGATCACGTCCCCCCAGGATCACGCCCGGGATCACATCCCGCTTCTCCACTCGGCACAGGGAGAGGGGGCCCAGGGCGGACAATGGAGCAAGAGGAACGGAACATCCTGGGCCGCAGCGCTGGGGACGGGCTCCCTCTCCAAAGGGCGTGTTGTAGGCACTCACCCCTCAGAGGACCACGGCGCCCCCAGACGGCAAAAGGCCTCGCGAAATCGGGACGTTGACCTTTCCACGGAAGGAAGCGCTTGGCAGCTTCTCTGTGGCGTCTCCGCGTGGCCGGCGTCACTCCGCCCGGACTTTGGGGACATTATTAAATAAACAAGGGGGCTGGGGATGGCAGTCTTACCATCAAGACAGCCACGCAGCTAACGTGAGGCACGCAACCACGGGGCCATGTAACTAACGGGGGCACGTAACCAACATGAGCACGTAACCAACATGGGCACGCACTAGCAGGAGCACGCAACTAACGTGGGCACGCAACTAACGTGGGCACGCAACTAACGTGGGCACGCAGCTAACGGGGACACGCAGCTAACGGGGGCACGCAATTAATGGGAGCACACAGCTAATGGGAGCACGCAATAACGTGGGCACGCAACTAACGTGGGCACGCAACCAACCGGGACATGCAAGTAACGTGGGTACGCAATTAATGGGAGCACGCAACTAACGTGGGGACACACTAACGGGAGCACGTAACTAACGTGGGCACGCAACTAACGTGGGCACGTAATTAACGTGGGAGAATGCAACTCTCGTGGGAGCAGGGAGCTAACGTGCGGCATGTACGCAGACGGAGGTGCTGACCAGGGGCTGCTGCAGGTCCTGCAGAGAAAGCGGGAGATTGCATCCCACTCCCCCGCACCAAGTGGATGTGAAATTTATGGCTTATTTCTGGAACTTTTCCATTGAATGTTTTCCTACCCCATGGGCCGCGGGTACCGGAATCGTGGCCCATGAAGCTGCGGATAAGGGAGGCCGCCATCCTGGAGGTTTGGGGCCTGGCCTCATGGGCATCAGCCCTGCTCCTGCGAAGGCGGGCCAGGGCCCGGGCTGCATCCCGGACGAGGTGTGCTCCCAGGAGAATACCCAGCACGCCGTGTCCACACCCCAGACACAGCAGGCGCCTTCCCGGAAATAAAAACCATGCAGCTGCGCCCACAAATCCCTCCTCATGAAGTACGGTTTCACTTAGCAAATCCTTTTGCTGGTTGCTCCCCTCTGCAAATAGCATTACTCCTTTGGTGCTCCCTCCAAACAAGAAACTCCATGGGAACAGAAGATATTCCACGGCAAAATTCCTGTTTAGGGAAAGGGATATATATATAATTTTCTTAATTGAGTTCAGAGAGGGAGAGAAACATCAAGGATCAGAGAGAACCATTGATCAGCTGCCTCCTGCACGCCCCCTTCTAGGGACTGAGCCCACAACCTGAGCATGTGCCCTGAGTGAAAATCCAACCATGATCTCCTGGTTCATAGGTAGACTCTCAACTGCTGAGCCATACCATGCAGCACATGCCACATGCTTTTCATGTGACCTGACATGAAGATCGAAGAACAAACTGATAAGCCACCAAAGAGGTGGTACTGTGCACCCACAGGGGTGGAACCCTACTCAGTAAATGTGGAACATAATTTATGTTCAAGAAAAACATAATTTATATCAATATGTATGCTAGAGACAATAACTACTGTGGCTCTTCAGGAAAGGCCTAAGTATTTGTTAAGACTCCAGAAAGACATATGAAATGTATTTTTCAAACCACTGCCCGTGATATAAGCTGTGTGAGACAGCCTTTTTTTTTTAATGACTTTTTATTGATTTCTTTTTTAGACAGGAGGGTAGAGGGAGAGAGAAAGAGAAACATCAATGTGAGAGTGAGACATCGGACCGGCTGCCTCCTGCATGCTCCCACCAGGATCAAGCCCACAACCGGGAATCAAACCCTGACCTGGAATCGAACTGGCAACCTTTTGGTGTATGGAATGACACTCAACTAACTGAGCCACGTGGGCCAGAAAAGACAGCCATTGTTTTTTGCTTCAGTTACACTGTTTTTAAAAATAAGGAAACAAGTCATTTTTAAAACAAATACATATATATTTTTAATATAAATGGAAACTAAGTATTCACTAATGCCAGAAATAATCTATCTTCAACTCGGGGCTCTTTTCAAAAGATACAAAATCACTGTTTCAAAAGATACAAGATGCACAGCTGAATCACACTCACTCCTTACAAATGTTAAATAGCACACAATTTAAATTCATCATGAACAATGATAATTTTTCAGTAGCTTGAAATGTCAGTTGTCCATTCCATAATTTTTTATGAGTAAAAAAAAAGAGCTAATCATGTACCTTAATATTATTATGTATTACTCCAAAGTACAAACCACCCAAAAGAATAAGAGTCCCATGCTTATATGTAGTATAAAAATACTGAGACATGTATCAGTCATAACTCATATAATGAAAACTACATTTTGGAATATGTTTCACAAAGACAAGTCCAACATTTCTCTTTGGTTCGTAAAATATAAGAGGTAGATTCAAAGAAAGTAAATTGCCTATTATGTCACTAGATTTTCACGACAATGTTGACAATTTATAATAGCAATTACTAGAAGTCAAACAAGTTTAGAAACTAAATTTTAAAAAATGGTAAGAATAACTCCAACTAATAAACTAGGCCCGAATCACATAAATCAGAAAAGATAGTTCTACCAAAAAAAAAAAAACCCAAAAGCTCTAATAAAATAAAAAAACATGCTATCAATATTAAAAATTATTTTCTATATCATAACATGTTCTAAAACTTGGGGCAAGAGATATTATGATAGTGTATGTTCATAAATTGGGCCTTTTGTTTAAAAAAGATATTTGCTACTAATAATATGTTCTACTCTCTTAGGTTTGTGCTGCCCAAGTGGAGAATTGCAGGTTCAAAGAAATTCAACAGGAAGGGAGGACAGGGGTTGTCTCCCACCCGGGATCAACCCACTTCATGCAATGAAGGCATTTCAGATGACCAAGAATGGTCCTCAGAAACCTTCCTGGTTAAATCTGATTCACCTAGGAAACCAAGGACGAAAAATCGAGAGAGGCTCTTCAAACGCTGGTCTCCATAAAAATGCTTTGTGTCCTGGTACTTGGCAAAGCCAAGAGAGAATAGCAACAGAACCCTTCAAATAAGTTGTCTTGGGTTGGTAACGTAACAGGAATATGCTGACAGTCAGTGTAAGGGAAACTAAATTACAGTGCAAGGGAAAGAGAAAATGGGCCACAGAATAAGTATTATTTTATCACAAAAATGATATCCATAGGTGAGGGTATCCCCATGCCTTGAAATCCAGCCACGTGCGTTCATTCTCACTCAGCTTACAGGAAGGTAAGGATAGAAATCCTATACTTACTTGGCTGCCGGAAGGTATGTCTTTCATACGGTGACTTTTGATTAACAGGTCTATAAGGAAATGTTAAGGAGTCTACAAAGACATTCAAAATATATAAAACAGTTTAAACGTTGAGGTTTTCTGATCATCTTGGCGTTTAAGAAAAAGACAAGCTGGCATACACTTGAACCACCCAACAATAACGACGGATGATTTATGATTCCACCACGCAAAACACAGTTAGTTCAAGCAGGTTCATGTTTCAGACTGAGGACTCGGGGCAGAGATTTGTAGAAAGGACTAAGGAGAAGAGATAAAATTCATTTTCTGGCTTTTTCAAAACTGGATGAGCTTATTAAAACTATGATTTTTCTTTTAAAAACATTTCTGTATATAGAAAATTGAGACCAAGTGTTTAAATGATCGTTGATAAGCTCTTCCCTTTTGTGGGGGGGAAAAAATACTTCTTTTGCCATCAACTTGCAATTCTAGGAGAAAAAGTCCCTCTTAGAGATTATTGAGAATTTCAGTGTAATCGTGCTAAAGAGAAAAAAAAAACGTTCAGCATGTCATTTCTGGGTGACTCCTAAAGCTTGTTTCATATTTTCATAAACCGCGTAGCTGATGCCTACAGCCGGGAGCACCTTCATGAAGTTTGGGGTGATGCCTCTGTACATTCCCGGTACCCCTTCTTTGGAAATGATGTGTCGAAAGAGGCCAACCATGTTCAGCTGTGGGCTTCCTACTATCATGGCTAGAAAACAAAAAAGGAAACGAGGCCGATTCAATACTCAAGTCTGCTTTATTCTTGTTAGTATGCATCGTTATGCTTCAGAATGACACGGAAGGAAGGGTCAGTTTTATTCCAGGGAGTCCCAGAAAGTGCCCTCTATATGAAGGGGGAGCGGAGGCCAGACTCGGCAGAGAGGTTACGGATCGAGCTGTAGTTGCCCAGGGGGTACCATATAAAGAAAACGATGGAGGATGAAATAGGCCAGGGAAAGAGCAAAAGAGAAAAGAGAGGCACAGAAAGCATAACTTACTAAGAGGGCAATAAAAGCCAGCGAATCCTAAGAGAATTCGCCCAGCTGGCGTGGCTCAGTGATTGAGTGTTGACCTATGAACCATGAGGTCACAGTTCGGTTCCCGTCAAGGGCACAGGCCAGGTTGCAGGCTCAGTCCCCAGTAGGGGGCATGAAGGAGACAACTGATCAATGATTCTCATCACTGATGTTTCTCTCTCTCCCTTCCTCCCTGAAATCAAATCAAATAAAAATTTAAAAATATATATAAGGAAACAGAAGCCGAAATCGGTTTGGGTCAGTGGATAGAGCGTCAGCCTGCGGACTGAAACATCTCTGGTTCGATTCCAGTCAAGGGCATATACCTTGGTTGCGAACACATCCCCAGTAGGGGGTGTGCAAGAGGGAGTTGATCAATGTTTCTCTCTCATCAATGTTTCTAACTCTCTATCCCTCTCTCTTCCTCTCTGTAAAAATAATCAAAAAAATATATTTTTAAAATAATAATAAATAAATAAAATTAAAAAATAAAAATAAAACAGAATAATCCACGAGGTGACCGAAAAGCCAGGAGGGCAAGTGGGATTAAAGTCGAGGGAGGAGAGAGTGTCACGTGGGGGAGGATCACAGGTCACGTTTTGTGGCGGCCACAGTCATAAGCAATTGCAGCCACCACTGGCCCGGAAGCTGGCAAACGCCCGGTGTGTAACACAGATGGCTGCTGATTCTTACAGCACTGCCAGTCTCTGTGCCCATTTACAGGTGAGAAAAGGAAAACCCACAGAGGCTGTATGCAAGGATCTGAGCCCAAGTCTACCTAGATACTAACACTTACACATTCGTGGGTTGTTGTTTTTTTTAATTCTTACCGGAGGACATGTTTACATTGATTTTTACAGAGAGTGGAAGAGAGAGGGAAAGAAAGAGAGAAACATCAATGTGAGAGACACATCGATTAGCTACCTCCTGTACATGCCCTGATCAGGGCCTGGCCAGGGAGATGCCTGCAATCAAGGTAGGTGCCCATGACAGGAATCGAACCCAGGACCCTCCAGGTCCACAGGCCAATGCTTTAGCCACTGAGCCAAACCAGCTAGGGCAAAGCTTATACATTCTTAAAATGTGTGTTCTCAACACGAGTTAAAAAAAAAACACAAAAAACAAAAAAAACCCTTAGTGTTGATACATGAAACACGGATACACATACAGTGTTATGTGCCCTGTGTCTGTGGTGGTAAAATTTCACGAAGAGGGAGTGGTTGGGAAAAGGCTTTGTGAGAAGGTTCCTCAGGGAGGCAATACAGAACGGGAGGTGGGGGTATACTATCTTCATGGAAAAACCCACCTTGAGCCTGCATGCGTGTTCTCACCAAGGCCAGCGGGTAGCTGGCCAGCTGCCCGCAGGTGCTGGACAAGGCCCCACACCCCAGCAACACTGCCACTCCGGGGTTCACCGTGTCTTTGGCAAAGTGTTCCAGCCAGTGGGACTTCAAGAGCTGCGAGGGATACAGAAAAAAGAGGGGAGATAGCCGCTGTCCCTCACAGCTGCTCTCGCCCCGCGGGAGACGGCCACCCCTCCCGGGAGGGCAGCTCTGCACGGGCGGGGGAGCCACCGAGGATTCGGACCCGGACCCCGGAGGTCTGCTAAATAACGGTGAAGGTCAGTGGCACACCAACTGCTGGACCTAAAGGACATTTCCTACAGTGAGTGTTGATAAAAATAATGTAACACTACCGACTACATCTCAGTTTGTACTGGACACATTTAATCCTTTTTGCAAAGCTCTGAGGCAGAGTTATCCTTCTGATTTGATAAATGAAGAAAATGATGCCCAGCCAGTGTGGCTCAGTGGATGAGCATCAAACTATGGACCCTAAGGTCACGATTCAATTTCCAGTCAGGGCACATGCCAGAGTTGTGAGGTTGATCCCTATAGATTTAGATAGATAGATATAGATACAGATATAGATATAGGTATAGGTATAGGTATAGGTATAGGTATAGGTATAGGTATAGGTATAGGTATAGGTATAGATACATAGACATAAGTATAGATATAGGTATAGATGTAGGTATAGATATAGATGTGGACATATTTATAGATATATAGATATAGACATAATTATAGATGTAAATATAGATATGGGTATATAGACATATTTATAGTTATAGATATAGATATAGACATATGTATAGATATAAATATAGATATAGACATATTGATAGATGATATAAATATAGATATAGACATATGTATAGATATAGACATAGATATAGACATATTTATAGACATAGATATAGATAGACATAGATATAGATAGATATAGATATAGATATAGATATATGATAGATATAGATGTATAGGTATAGGTATAGGTATAGGTATAGATGTAGATATATAGAGATAGATTTAATTTAACACCCTTGAATCTACTTTGGGTCACAAACTCTTCCCTGGAATACGTGTACTTCTCCATACACAGTCAAATTCAAACAATAAGAACTACATAACTACATTTTCAGATCCAAACGTTTGCTACAAACTCACCTCATACACAGCAAGGTCTATACCTGCGTAAGGTATGATGCCCAGTATATTGGGGATATAACCTTTGAAGAAAGCCCCCATGCCTTCATGCTTCAAAATCTTCCTGGCACAGTCGAATAGGCCGGTGTACTGCCCCGTTCTGGCCACGGCCAGCCTGGTCTTCAGAACCTGGTAGCAAAGGGATACACAAAACACGCTGGTCGTGTGGCCCCTGCCGCCATGAAACTCTCTGGAGAGGAACAGTGTTCTCGTTCCTATCAGCACGGGGACAGCCAGCCCCCAGGCAGCCCCCACCAGGCCTGCTCCCTGACACTCACCCCCTGTGGGGTCCCCTCCCTCACTCCCCCAGGGGCAGTCTGTGTGGCCAACGGTTTACTCAGGGACCGAAGAATGCACTCTCCTTCCTGGGGGCTCTGCCACCCCTGAGACCACCAGTTTGGGGACACCAGCCGCCACGTTGTGTGGATGCTAAAGCATCCTGTGCAAAGGCCGAGGGGACAAGCCAGCAGTCTCCGGTCAGCAGCCAGCAAGGCCTGACCACAAACAGGAGAGTCTGGAAGAGATCCATGCCCAACACCCTGACGGCAGCCTGTGAGGTGCCCCGGGCCACAGGCACCCCGCCCGGCTACTCCCAGGTCCCTGAGCTGGGGAGGGAGCCATGCTTGCTGTTGGGAACTGTTAAACCTGGGCAGTACCTGCTACACAGCCACGGATCATGAATACGGAAACCGCGCACGCTGTCAGACGTCACGACAGCACGTACCTCCATAGGATAAATAAACGTCTGTGCGGTTGCTCCAGCCAAGGAACCGGAAACAAATCTCTCAAAGGTCCCTATGTTCTGTCCTTCCCTGGTAAGCATCTTCTTGTACTGTGGGAGTCAATTGTAAGTGCACATTAGTACCTGCTGTAGACGGAATTGTGTGTCCCTCCCCACAAATGCAGTGTGGGAGCTGTAACCCCCGTTGGGATGGTATTTGGAAATGGGACCTTTGGGAGGTCAGTAGAGGCAGACAAGGTCATGAGGGTGGTAAATCCTTATCAGAAGAGACACCAGAGAGTTTTCTTTCTGTCTTTCTCCTCCTCCTCCTCTTCCTCCTCCTCCTTCTCCTTTTTCTTCTTTCCCTCTCTCTCTCTCTCCCCCCACATGCATGCACCAAGGAAAGGCTTTGTCATGGCAAGAGGATCATCATCTGCAAGCCAGGCAGAGCACCTTCACCAGAACCCAAACTGGTTAGCGCCTTGCTCTTGGACTCCCAGCTCCAGACTGTGAGAAATAAATATCTGCTGTTTGACCCACCCACCACATGGATCTTCATTACAGCAGCACAAGCTGAATAAGACAATACCAAACACAAATCAGCTTCTAGAAGGCAATGAACAGACTGTGTGGTTATGTTTTTCAAAATGCAAACGCTGCATTCACAATACTTAGCAGGAAAGCAAGGCTTCAATGGCAGTGCATTCCATTGGCTGGACAGCAGCTTTCAAGGGAGATTCCCGCGGGACACAGATGTTGCCCGGAGAGGAGCTGGCTGCTCCTTTGATCAGACAGAATCTCAGCCTTCTTTCTCAGATGCACAGTTAATGGCGTTCACTGTTTTTGAAAAGTGACCCCATAGTTTTTCTGTGTTGAAGGTGGGTTTATTTTTACTAGGACAAATAAAACTGTTACATAAGTGGCAAATATTAGCAACCTAGAAATCAGTTTTTAGCCCAAACCGGTTTGGCTCAGTGGATAGAGCATCGGCCTGCGAACTGGAAGGTCCCAGGTTCGATTCTGGTCAAGGGCATGTACATTGGTTGCAGGCACATCCCCAGTGGGGGGGGGGGTGCAATAGGCAGCTGGTCGATGTTTCTCTCTCATCAATGTTTCTAGTTCTCTATCCCTCTCCCTTCCTCTCTGTAAAAAAATCAATAATAAAATATATTTTTTTAAAAAGAAATTAAAAAAAAAAATCAGTTTGTGTAAGCAATGCCTAGAATTACACTGTCCCTGACAAGACAGCGCTGACAATGACCTGTTCGTAGGCTGAGAACTTGAGAGCCGTCTCCGGGGCGATTTTAAGAACATTTGTGCCGTTTCCCCTCCAGAGGGAGCGGATCCCTCCTTCTTTCACCATCTGCCGGAAGCCGCTGTATATGTTCATTTTCTTGGATTGTGAACCGTGGACCTGAAAATAAAAGTAAAACGCTACAAAATGCCGGTGACGTGTTGTTGTTACTATTCCTGTAGTAACAGTCCGAACCCCTCTCTCTTCTCCAATACTGCAAGAAGATGAAAACAGAAGATAGGAGGCTTAGAAAACATATAACATACAGCCCTTGCTGGTTTGGCTCGGTGAATAGAGCATCGCCTGCAGACGGAAGCGACTCAGATTCAATTCCGGTCAAGGGCACATACCCAGGTTGCAGGCTCCATCCCCAGTAGGGAGCATGCAGGAGGCAGCTGGTCAAGGATTCTCTCTCATCATTGATATTTCTATCTCTCTCTCCCTCTCCCTTCCTCTTTGAAATCAATAAAAATGTATTTGGAGGGGAAAAGAATAATTACTAATTTAAAAAAAGAAGAAAGAAAATGTATGACATATACACAATTTAAGGAGACCCCCTACAGTAATGACTGAATATTTAAACACTTGAATAGTCGTAGGACACACCAACGATGAAGAGTTCACACATAGCTGTATCAGTAATTTGAGGTTGGGCAGAACACTGAAATCATTCCACAGACAGAATTTAGGATTAACAGCGATAAAGTGCAGAGGTATTTTTTTAAAGGTATAGAAGACTGCTATGGAGAGTCTTATAACCTTTTCCAAAGCACCCTATTCCCTGTTGTTTGGTGGGGATTTGGGACGGACAGACACAAGGTCACGAGGTTCACCTGCATCATGACTTTGAGACGGTCCAAGGGCGCGGTGCTTGTGCGGGAGACGGCGCCGGCGATGCCGCCCGCCAGGAGCTGCCTCCACCACTGCCCCGACGTCTTCTCATCTTCCGTGAATTCATCCGGGATGGTTAAACTATCGCCTATGTCGATACCCTGTCAGGGTGGGGGGGGCGGGCAGAGGTTACAGCCTCCTTCCACTAACCACAGATCATCCCAGCAGTTCTGTTTTAAAGACGCCGGTGTTATTTCTTAGTGAAGGTCGGCTGGTCCCCGGGAGGGTCACCGGACCAATCTGAGCAGAGATGAGGGTCAGTAGCTTCCTCTCGCTAGGCGGAGTGTGTGGAGCGTCAGTCCACCAGAAATGAACATGGACAGCGTTCACCAGTTTACAAAACCAACAGGCGCACTTTGTTTTCTTAATGGACTCAGAGCAGATTTTTCTCCTCTGTGTCTAAGTCAGAGTGAAAGGGCAGTATTTTACTTCTTTTTAGCTAAAGAAAGAAATTAGCTTGTCAGCTCTCCAAAAATGCACCCTTTAGCTCTTAATTATGTCTATGTTATGCTTTGCACCATGATATAGGCTTCAAATAGATGTATATGAAAGCCTAAGCTAGTGAGCGACCAAACGACCCATCAACCGGTTGCTATGATGCGCATTGACCACCGAGGGGGGCAGATGCTCAATGCAGGAGCTGCCCCCTGATGGTCAGTTCACACCCACAGCCAACTTCCCATGGCCAGCCATCCTCCCTCCCCCTCCTCACCCTCCCCCTGGCTGGCCAGCCCTCATCGGGCCCAATCAGGCTGGCAGACCAACCTCTCCATAGCCCTTCCACCAGGCCAGCCAACCTCCCACAGCCCCAATCTGCCCTGTTCACCAGCCAGGCCGAGGGACCCCACCCATGCACCGGGCCTCTAGTATGTAAATACAAACTACGCATGTGAATATCCCTAAACCTATTTCCTATGCAGACTATCTCTAAATATTTTTATAAAGCTGACTTGTCCTTTAAAGCATGCAACAGATTCTATAAAAAAAAAAAATCCAGCTAACAGGCGGTATTGCACCAATCTATTCTAAACTTTGCTAGAGATGACCAGGGTAGCTTGAGAGAAACTCAGCTCTCCAGTGGTACTGTTCTTACACCTTTATTATGTAAATGACTTTGGTGTAAAAGATTTTGTGGGTAAGAGTGTCCGGGAAGGAGCGATGCAATAGCTGTAACTCTCTTCCTTTGCCTGTGAGTCACAGGGACGCGGTTACCGGCTCTCTCCAAGGACACAGTAAGAACCTGGGATGTACATGCAGCTTCCGGAGCCCCCGGGGCCTGGTTGCCACCCGTGCGGTAAACATCCCAGCGTTCTCAGGCGGCGACCATCCCAGTGGCTTCCAGCTCCAAACGCGTACAAATTGGCCCACGCAGCGTACTCACGGTGGAATGCTTCCAGAAACGGACGATCTCCTCGATGTTTGTCACAGGATTCAGTAAGAAGTAGTCTCTCCATTCATCCCAGTCCACTGTCATCGTCCCATCACTATCAATGCTGGGGGGGGGGGGGGGGGGGGAACAAGACAGAACTTACAAATAAAACTAGCACTGCTGGCTTTTTTACAGAATGACCATTTCTTTTCCAACTTAATCGTCTCATTAAATTTTTTTAAAATCCTAGCCCAGCCAGTGTGGCTCGGTGGATGGAGCGCCGTCCCATGCACCAAGAAGTCGCTGGTTGGATTCCTGGTCAGGGCTGAGGCCCAAGTTGTGGGCTCCATCCCCAGGAGGGGTGAGACGGCAATCAATGATTCTCTCATCCCTGATATTTCTCTCTCTCTCCCTCTCCCTTCCTCTCTGAAAACAGTAAAAAATATTAAATAAATAAATAAATAAATAAATAAAGAGAGAGAGAGAGAGAGAGAGAATCCTGTCTGTCTTTCTCTTATATGTGGAATCTCAAATAAAAAACACAAAGCAACCAGATTCATAAAAACAGAGACCAAAAGGATGGTCCCCAGAAGGGAGCGGGCGGCGGATGGATGGAATCCTCCTGGGATGAGTTTGCACGCGGGCAGACAAGGACACGAATGAGTGGGGTGGTTATACTGTGTGGCCTCAAAATACTGCCTCGCTCCAATGTACACCTGAAACAAATACACGATCGTATGCCAACTGCAGTTAAACAAAAGGACAAGTTTTAAAGAGAAGAACGAGCCCTGCCTGAGGGTGCATCCCCCTCTCTATGCTTTAGAAAGACGTGTGCACACAAATGAAAAGGAAGGAGCAGGAGAGAACGTCATCACGCGGCTGCAGTGAGGAACAGCGAGGGGCAAGCACAGGTCTCACCCACACAGACACGGGCGCTCTCGGAAGCAGGACAGGAGCGTGACCATCCAAGAAAAACAAACAACTCCCAACCCACTGGAGAGCTTACCTTTGAAGAATCTTCTTTGCTTGTTTTTCAGAAATCTTTATCCCTAAATTCAGGAAAGACTGGATAATTTCAGAAGCCTCGATTTTTCCTTTAAAAGAAATAAAAACAGCATCAGCTCGGCGTCAGAACTGTAAGGACCTTAGAAATCACGATTTGCAATGCCCTCGTTTCATCAGGGAAGGCCTTGGCTGGCTTAAGGTAAACTTAAGAATGTAGGGGAGGGTTAGATTTGCTTAAGGACATAGTGCAACTCAAACACTAATCAATACATTAAACAAACACACACATTATTTCACTCCTGCTTTTTGCCTGACACAAATGGGACTCCCTTCTAGCTGTTAATCCAAATAGAGAAACCATAACTCCAGTCCAAGCACACACACTTAAATGTCTATCTGCTTTTTTTTCTTTCTAATTCTCAAAATCAGAGAGTATCTGCTCAAGTGAATGCTCCTCTTCCTCCTCCTCCTCCTCCTGTCAAATAAACGACAAGTTTTTAACATTTAAATTATGTTTTTATGCCTAAATATGAAAGAAAAATAAACCTCTCTTGCCCAGAGAACAAGGAAACATAATTACGTTTAACCCTAGCTTCAAGTCAAATCAGAATATTGTTCCATAGTCCACATTTTACAAACTTACAGTTTCTTTTTTTTTTAATATCTATTTTATTGATTTTTCACAGAGAGGAAGAGAGAGCGATAGAGAGTTAGAAACATTGATGAGAGAGAGACATCGATCAGCTGCCTCCTGCACACCCCCCTACTGAAGATGTGCCCACAACCAAGGTACATGCCCTTGACCAGAATCGAACCAGGGAGGGACCTTTCAATCCGCAGGCAGACGCTCTATCCACTGAGCCAAACTGGTTTTGGCCAAACTTACAGTTTCTTAACTCATTGGACAAATAATAAGTTTTCTTACCACAGAAAAACATGGATTCTATGTAAAAATCACATGACTAAGAAACAAGTACCCATGTTTCCCCGAAAACAAGACATTCTCCGAAAATAAGACCTAGCGCATGGAAAGATAAGACGTCCACTGAAAATAAGACCTAGCGCATCTTTGGGAGCAAAAATTAATATAAGACACTGTCTTATTTTCGGGGAAACAGGGTATTAACACTAGTAATAATGAGAACCCCGTCCAGGTGGCTCAGTTGGTTGGAGCACTGTCCCGCACACCAAAAGGGTTCAATTCCTGGTCAGGTCACATACCTGGGTTGCAGGTTCGATCCCCAATAGGGGTGCATAAAGGAGGCAACTGATCAATCTCTCTCTCTCTGTGTCGCTCTCTCTCTCTCTCTCAAATAAATAAAAACATACCTAAGGTGAGGATTAAAAATAATAGTTACCATTTATCACCTAAGGGGGAAAAAATACACATTGTTTTAGACTCTTGGGAGTATACATGCTTCCTCAGAGCTGATGATGAATAGAAAATAAAACACACACCATCACTATTTTTGTCCAAGCTCTTAAATGCCAATTTCATTTTTTTCTCATGGTCTTTAAGGTACTGCATAAATTCTTGAAAATCCAGCTTCCCATCTTTGTCGATATCACCAGTAACAAAGATTTTCTATAAAAAAGAAAGAAAGAAAAGAAAATAGAAGTCTTTTAACATGGGTTAAAATACTAAATTATTTGCCCACACACTTCAAGTAGATTGGCTGTTTTCCGATAAGACATGCATTTCATAAGTCCCCAGGTATAAGACAAACACTTGGGATTCAAACGTCTAAAACAGTATGTTTCCCCTTGGATTTCCAACATCAAATCACACTTTCCTTATAAAGAGCTGTCACAAATTATCTCTAGGAGTAGAAATCACTGCTGCAGAGAAAGCAATAGGAAATATGGTGTTTGATATGTCATGTAAGCCCTCTTTTACTGCCACCCAAAATGTACACTTCCTGCCTGGGAAGACCCTCACAGTCACCCACCCGAGGCTCACAGACTCTTTTTTTAAAAAATATTTTATTGATTTTTTTTTTTTTACAGAGAGGAAAGGGATAAAGAGAAACATCAATAAAAGAGAAACGTCCACAACTGCCTCCTGCACACCCCCGACCGGGGATGTGCCCACAACCAAGGTACATGCCCTTGACCAGAAAAGAACCTGGGACCCTTCAGTCCGCAGGCCGACGCTCTATCCACTGAGCCACACGGGCCAGGGCCAGCCCACACGCTTGCTCTCCTGGGAAGACGATGCCTGGGGGTGGCGGCCGGCATGAGGGTCAGACCTGCAGCTCTGGGATCGGAGGGAAAAGGCCTGACCGTCAGGGGATGCCACGGAAGCTGAGAGGGGAAACTAACGGACTAAAGCGCAGAGTTAGAAACGAGGACCGGCTGGAAATCAAAGAATCAAAGGCTGACCCCAACCCCAAGGAACTAGGACACAAATGTTCATGTTGAAATAAAGAGTAAATAAGGAATCATCAAGAAAGCAAATAACCCCAGTCCCGACATCTCTACGCCCCCCTCCCCACCCCCGCCCACCCCCTCCCAGGCCCACCTTCCCCGGCTGCAGGGAAGAGCTGAAGCCCAGGTCGCCCAGGGTCTCCTCCAGCTCCCGGATGTCCAGGGTGCCGTCCTCATTGTGGTCCAGGTACCAGAAGAGGTCCTGGTACAAGGAGTCCATCGGGGCGGCGGGAGGCAGGGCTGGTCCTCGACGGCTCCTCCGAGCCTCCCAGACGTGGAGGGGAGAGGGGGAAGGGGGGGGTCTGCCAGATCCGGTCCGGTCCAGACTGCAGGGACCTAAGGCAGCAGCCTCCGCTAGGACAGCCAAGACCAGGCCCGTCCGCGAGACGCAGCGCAGGGAGGGGAGGGCGACCCGCAACGGCTCCGGCGGCTCCGGCGGCTCCGGCTCCGGGGGAGGCGCGCGGGGCGGGGGGCTGGGGTCAGGGGCCTCCGTTCGGTTCCGCTGATCAGACACCCCGGTTTCCCTGGAGACTGATGCTCTACAACTCACGCCCTTCCCCCAGGACTTCCGGCGAGACCTGGGCGGGGGTGTCCGGGGAGGCAGAGCATCTTTTCCCAGAAGAGAGGGGAACGGAGGCCGGAGCCTGGCTGCGGGGCCATAAGGATGGGTGGGGAGAGCTAACTGTTTCTGAAAGCTGTTTGGTCACCCCTTTTTTTTAAAAAAAAATATATTAATATTTTACAGAAAGGAAGGGAGAGAGAGAGCGAGCTAGAAACATCAATGAGAGAGAAACATTGACCAGCTGCCTCCTGCACACCCCCTGCCCATTATGTGCAAGGTCACCCCTTTCTGAGAAGCCTTCCCTAAGAATGGTTGTCGTGGGGATTGGGAATTGGGGACCTAATGGAAGTCTGCCCACCTGGGCCTTTCCCTCTGCGATGCTCCCTCACCCTCTCACCCCCCCAAGTCACCCCCCACCCCTGGTCCTCATCCTAACAGGCATCGCAGTGGCTGCAGGACAAGGCCGCCCTACGGCCAGGTCCCAGCTCTGGCCTCAGATGCACCCCTGGGAGGGAGATCTCAAAGCGGGGGAAGTCAAGGCAGCTGGGGTCCCTGAGAGAAATCAGGAGATACTCAGAAGCAATGTCCCTGACTCTTCTGAACCCCAACTCTCCCCATGCATATACTTGTGGGCCCTCACCCTGCTCCACCGGAAGTGGGAAGTGTGGTTTCACAATAAGCACTCTGCCTTTTAGGGAATCTGTACTTCTAAACATGGCGCACTCTTTAGAATGTTGTATTAAAATTCATGGAAAGCAACCAGAACACACATTCGTGGCTGGCTGGGATGCAAAATGGTACAACCACTCTGGAAGAAATTTTTTTTGGGGGGGAAAGAAAAAACAACAACGAAAAAGGGGAAGACATTTTGGCATTTCTCACAAAACCAAACACGCACAGTACAATCCGGCAATCCCAGTGCTTGGTATCCACCCAAAGGAGTTGAAAACATAGGTAACATGTTTACACAAAACCGACACACATATGTTTGTAGCAGCTTTACTCACAGTCGGCAAAGCTTGGAAACAACCAAGATGTCATAAACTGTGGTATATCCTGAGGATGGAATATTATTCAGCACTAAAAAGAAATGCACTACCTGCCTAAACCGGTTTGGCTCAGTGGATAGAGCGTTGGCCTGCAAACTTAAGGGTCCCAGGTTCGATTCCAGGTAAGGGCATGTACCTTGGTTTTGTACCTTGGCAGCTGATCAATGTTTCTAAGTCTCCCTTCCTCTCTGTAAAAAAAATCAAATATATTTAAAAATAAATAAATAAAAAAGAAATGCGCTACCAAACCACAAAAAGACATGGAGGACCCTGACATGCATATTACTAAGTGAAAGAAGCCAATCTGAAAAGCCTAATCTACTGTATGATCCCAACTCTATGACATCCTGGCAAGACTATGGTAAACATGCAGAGCACAGAGGATTTTCTTAGGCCAGTGGCAGTATTCTGTATGATACAGGAAAGGTGGGCACATGTCATTATGTACCCCACCAGGAGTGAACCCTAAGACACATGAGCTATGGGCTTTGGGTGATAATGATGTGTACATGAGGTGCAGCATTTGTAACGAATGTGCCCATCTGTGCCAGACGTTGATCATGGGGGCGTCCATGTATAAGTGGAGGCAGGAGGGACATGGGAAATCTCTCTGCCTTCCTCTTAATTTTTCTGTGAGCCTAAAACTGTTCCCCCAAAAAAGTAAAATTATTATTATTTTTAATCCATCAAGAAAATGGAATCAAGCCCTTGTCTGTTCGTTCTTGCTCTCCTGGCTCACCATATCAAGTGTTCAATACAAAGAGAACCATGACACGTCTTTGAAATACCCATGGGTGTGCCTGCAGGAGGAGGTTGCGCCATGGTTAGACATAAGCAGTACTGCAGGCTGTGCAATCCACGTCCTCCCCCCGCCCGCCCACCCCCAAGTGGTTGAGCAGTGGCGAGTGTCTAACGCTGTTTCACAAGAGATGCTGTGGCCCAGTCTGGAATGAGTCCTCCCTCAAAAGAGACATTTGCAATCCACAAAGAATGATCCTTGCTTGGGCACAGCAGAGCATGAAGCTGTCACAGGCACTCACAGAAGTCGGGCCTCCAGCCAGGGCACATGAGTGCAGAGGACCAAGGAGAGAAGACAGACGTCACGGCCAGGGTCGTAGGGAACAGACGGGCAGCACTTTATAGAACTGAGAACTGACAGTCCCAACCACCTCCTATGAGCCTCTGGACCCTTTGAGATGCTCCCCTCCTTGCTCTTGCTACCTTTCTCCATGCAACAGTCCTGTGCCCCTCAGGATCCTACATCTTTCCAAAGAAAGTTCCAGTGAGAGGATGTGCCGGTGAGAACATGGCAAACATCATGTTCACGTTGCCTGTAATCTCTCAGGCTAGCTTGTTACATCAGCTAGCCCCGAGCTTGGGTACGGTAATGCCTTCATGCTCTACAGAACCTGTCTCTTCTGCTCTGCGTATCAATAAAAGAGTTGCCATTAAAACAATGTTTTTCATCGAGAAGGAAGAGGGGGGGGGGGAATGGTAAAACCCTATTGGGCAAGCTTCCCTCTTTTCATTTTATTGCCTTAATTCAATAGTCAGACTTTTTTTGGAGCCCTACACTGTTCCAAACTCTCCCAGGCCTACACTAAAATGAAATAACCACATTTCCAGCCAAAACTGCAGACTCCTCACCGTCAGTTTATCTTCCTCATCATTTCCATTTTGGTTTATTAGAATCCTGATTATTCCCTCTATTCTTTAATGACATGAAGAAAAAAAAAATTTTTTTTTTTTTCCCCTGAGAGTACCTCCAATGGCATCCAAACATTGAGACTATATTTGATACCTCTTCCTGGGAGGGGTTTCCCATTCCTGCCATCAAAGGCTCACGGATGCCCGATCTACAGGCATAAAATCCCACATCCACAGCATCTCACCAGGGGCCCACTTCGCAGTGAGAGGGGTGTGGGAGGGGGCCCAGGACCAAGGCGTCCACTGCCCAGACCCCAGGCCACTCCATCCAGAAGAGCCAGGCACAGGGTGCTGGAGAGTCCCACAGGGCAGCTGACGCAGCACCGAGGAGACAATATGTGCCCCCAACAGGATGGGAATCCAGGAACCAAGAGTGGAAGCAAGAGTGGTCCCCTGACTGTCACTCCCAGTGACCATGGGGGTGGGGGGGGGACTTTTTACTTCCCGTTCCCACAACGTTGGGCCCTGCAGGGTTAGTTTCTGGACCCCAAACAGGATATGCTCTTGCCAGGGACTAGCGCAAGCTCCAGCCGCCACCTGGGCATTTGGAGCTCCCTGTGTCAGGGACCACCAGGCGAGAGGAGGAGAAGTCGCCATCCTAGGAGGCGTGAATGGACCCTGACCAGCAGGAGGCAGGGCTTCTTGACACAAGGAAGAGGGAGAAAAATGCAGGCCACGCCAGTAACCCACATACAAGGTGAACGGTGGCTCAGCCCTCAGGAATGCAGGTGTGTGTCACACCAGGTAAGTCACCAGGACCTGCAGAGAGGATGGCCGGGCGTGAGTGCAACTGAACAAAGAAGGTCAAGAAGGGAGATCATGAGTCCCAGGGGTGACCAAGGGAAGCCCTGGGGACTGCGGTTTGTCCCTCTGACCTCCCTGAGGGAGACAGGCTGGGGACGAGGCAGAGGAGCAGATCTGTGGTGGCCGAGCCAGGCCGCCTGCGAGAGAGCCGGGGCGGGAGCCTGCTGCCTACCCCATTGCACCCACTGCCGCCCTCACAGGGGTCCACAGTCGCCCGGGGCTGCTCGAACCCATGACTAACCACAGCAGGGACTAGCCCTGGGCAGCCAGGCCCAACACAGGACCCCCCAACAGACAGCACTTCCTCGGAGACTCCCCACCAGCCTTGGGGAGACTACCTAGGACCTTCTCTGCAGCTCTGTCTAAGGCAACCCTTCCTTCTTGCACTCTTTTTCTCTTCTTATTTATTTCAGAGAGAAAGGCGGGGAGAGAGAGAGACAGAGAAATAGAAAAATCAATAATGAGAGAGAATCATTGATCGGCTGCCTCCTGTACTCCCCTTAATGGGGATCGAGCCTGCAACCTGGGCATGTGCCCTTGACTGGAATCGAACCTGGGACCCTCCAGTCCCCAGGCCAATGCTCTACCCACTGAGCCAAATCAGGAAGGGGCCTTCTTGCACTCTTCTCACAGGGGTTCAACTTGCATCCTGGTCCGAAGATCCCCTCGGCACATTTCTGCTTCCTCTCCCCTACCCCTCCGGGCCTCTCCCCCCAGTAAATCTCTTGCACACCCAACCCCATCTTGCATTCCGCCCCCCGGAGGCCCAGAACTGACAGTTACTACCATGAGGGACCCAACCCAACAGGTGGGGACATAGGGCTTGGGACTCAGCACCGCCCTGCAGTCAAAGAGCCCCAGTGGCTTATGGGTAAGGATGTGCCTCCCATACCGCAGGAGCCCATCGCTAAGATGTCCCGCTGGTGACCCGGGAAGATGGCCCGGTTTAGGGGAACACCCTGACCACGGCAATGAGTCGGGCATTTGAAAAACATGAGGGCACTGTGCTATGAGGTCAGGCAGGCAAGCAGCATGATCAAGGAAGCAAGTCACCAGGATGATCCAGCCATGTTCCATGCAAATATATATTTTATTGACTTCAGAGAGGAAGGGAGAGGAAGAGAGAAATAGAAGCATCAATGATGAGAGGAAATCATTGATTGGCTGCTTCCTGCACACCCCCTACTGGGGATGGAGCCCGCAACCCAGGCCTGTGCTCTTGACCAGAATTGAATCCGGGACCCTTCAGTCCACAGGCTGATGCTCTATCTACTGAGCCAAATTGGCTAGGATAATAAATGTATATTTTATGTATATGTATAAAATACATATGTTATGGTGATAAACATATGCCATCCTGATCCATGTGTTTGCATACATACAGTTTTATACAACTTATTTTATGTGTATCCTTATCTGAATTTTGAAAAAGTGAAAACATTTTTAATCTCTCTTTCTCAGTCTATCTAGCCAGAGGTTTGTCTATTTTATGCATATTTTCAACCCCCCCCCAAAAAAAAACATATATTTAAAAACGTAAAGCACATGGTTAAATAACTGGTGGGTCAAAGATGAAATCATATTAGAACCTAGAAAATGCTTGGAACTAACTTCAATAAAGGCACTTGGGGAATGCAGCTAAAGTGACTAAAGGGATATTGTAGCTCAAAATTAATAAATTCAGCATTTAATGCAAGAAATTAGAAAAAAAGCAAATGAGCCCTAGCCAGTTTGGCTCAGTGGCTAGAGCATGGAACCAGGGACTAAAGGGTCCCAAGTTCAATCCTGAACAAGGGCACATACCTCGATTGCAGGTTCAATCTCAGCCCTGATGCCTTTCGGGAGGCAGCCAATCTACAATATGTGTCTCTCTCACACTGATGCCTCTCTCTCTCTCTGTGTCTCTCCCCCAACCTTCCACTCACTCTAAAAAAAATAAAAATAAAAATTTAATGGAAAAATACCCTTGGGTGAGGATTAACAAGAGAGAGAGAGAGAGAGAGAGAGAGAGAGAGAGGGAGGGAGGGAAGGAGAGGGAGGGAAAGAGAGAGAGAAAACAAGAGCAAATGAGTAACCCCCCAAAAAAAGTAGAAGGAAATAAACAGAAATTAAGGGAAGAAAATAAAAACCAGAGACAATCAGCAAAAGGGACCAGCAATGACATCAGGAACACAACTACAGACAGTTGGAACTTTTTAAAAAGAATAAGTGACTATTATGAACCTTGGACAAAATGGGCTGTTTCCTAAAAACTGTAACCTGAATCTGACTCAGGCCCAAACAGTAGCTGAAGAGGCCAGTCAGCACTACAGACATGGAAGGAGTGGCTTAAAATACAAAGCTATACAACAGCTGTCGGCTCTTGTGGTTGAATCACTTTCCCCCCTGGGGACACGGGTACCCAAGTGTCCTCTCAGGTTACGGTGGGCTGGAGAGGGTCCAAACCCCTCCTCTCCGCTAAAGGGCGGGATGAACTTCCACACAATTAACATGACTCAGAGAGGCCAGCCCCTCCGTGCCAATCAATGGAATGTCGCCTCCGCTCCTCAACAGGAAGTTGATGAAACATGATTGGGGTTTGTTTGTTTTTTCTTTTTTAAAATTAAACGTATTGGGGTGACATTGGTTAATAAGATCAAATATGTTTCAAGAGTCCATTTCTATGATGTATGCCTACCACCAGAAGTCAAATCATCTTCCATCACCATATTTGGCCAAGACTTTGGGGACGAGAGGGGCCACACGCTGACTTGGCAGGCTCAGGGGCAGCCTGCATGGCGGTCTTGCAGACTCAGAGGCCTACAGTCACCACAGAAGATGGTCTGAAATGAAACTTGAACTAAACGCAGTTTATGGCGGGTAGTCACCTCCTAGGCCGATATCTTCACTGTGGAGGTCCACCTTTACCTGAACTGAGCCTGTCTTTTTGCATCTATGATAACATATCCTTGAAATGTCTGGGTAACTTGTAACTTCCCTTTTTCTGGACCCCTTGGGGCACAACCTAAAGTGCCTGGGCGCCAGGACTGATGCCACAAATTCCTTCATTGTTATCATATTCATTGTCCCTGCACCCACCTAGGTATGTGTCCACCATTTTATTTCTTATCCAATCCCAGGGGTCCCTCCCCCCTTGCTTTCTCCCACCCCTCTAGTTTATCTCCAAAGGATTTCTTGTAACTCACCGATGTCCCCTCCTTTGGTTGCCATGTATAAGAACAGATGAGAGACTGCCGTTCTCTGAAGCACTATCGGATAGTCGGATAGTCGCTATCCGTTGAGATTCTGCTTCCCGGCAATTGTCGACAGTTTGGTTCAATAAACTCACAAAAATTCTTTACAGGTTGGAATGGTTTTATGATTACAATTTGTTTTCAAACCGATCGGAAACTGTAGGCAAAACTAGCTGGTGATGGAAGCAACTTCAGAGAGATAACAAAATGTGAGCTTTTTACAGGATCTGGGACACACTGACACCTGAGCGCTCACAAGTTCAAGTTTGATTCACTGTTTGCAAAGGCGCAGAAAGGCAGGGAAACCCGGAAAGAACTGCGGGCCCGTGGGCGAGGGTTCGCTGCCCTGAGTTTATCTGGAAAACTATCGGGAGCCTTTCAGAACCTGCAGCTCGTCTTTGCAGGGGGGTGCCCGGCCCCGCGCCCCATTCCCGAGCGTCTCAGCCCCCAGGCGGCCGGGCGCCCCGGCCCCTCCTCCTTCCTGGCCGAGCCCGGGCCGCGCCCGCCGAGCTGGCAGCGCCCCGAGTCCCCCAGCCCCCGGGCCCTCGGGCCGCCCCGCCGCCACCCACCTCCTCGGCGTCCGGGCCCAGGGGGATGCCCAGGCTCCGCAGCCCCTCGCGCAGCTCGCCGATGTCGATCACGCCGTCCCCGTTGCGGTCCAGCTGCCGGAACAGGCTCTCGTAGCGCCCGGGCGGCCCCGCGTCCTGGCAGGCGGCGGCGGGCAGCGCCCAGCCCCGCAGCCGGCCCAGCATGGTCCCCGGGGCGCGGGCGGCCGAGCGAGGGCACCGGGATCCCGCACAGGCTGCCCGGGCCTGGCGTGATCCGGGATCCGGTCGCAGCCGGGGACCCCACCCAAGCCGGGGAGGGGCCGGGCTGGGGAGCCGGGGAGGAGCTGGCCCCGCGCCCGCCTCCAGCAGGCGGCCCAGGGCGGGCGGGAAGGGGAAGGGCCGCCCGGAGGCTGGGGCATCGGGGAGACTGTACGCGGGGTCCCCGCTGCCAGAGGCGGGGTACGAGGAACAAGGACCGGGTCCCTACAAATCGTGGGCCTCAGAGTCAACTAATGAGCGCGGGGAGCGGGACAGTTTGGGGCGCAGGTCCCTTCCCTGCAAACCTCTCCCCTCCCGCGGGGCCTGCGCCCCGCCCGGAGGAGCTGGCCGCCCGGAAGCTGGGCCCTGGGCTTTGTCTAGATCTGAACTCGCACAGATCTCTGACTTTTCCTAGCACTCCGCTGGCGCTGCACATCTCCAGGCCTGTTTTCTTTTTTATTGATTTTGGAGAGAGCGGAAGGGAGAGGGAGAGAGAGGTGTTAGGCACCTTTCAGCTGCCTCCTGCACGCCCCCTACCTGGGATCCTGCTGCCAACCCCGGGGTATGCCCCCATCCCAGTGGAGCGGGCCACCTCTTGGTGCTCGGGAGGAAGCTCAACTCATTGAGCCACAGCAGCGGGTCGGGCCTGTTTTCCAAGCACAAAAATGCACACCTTGTTATCAGAACTCTGCCCTAAGAAGCAGAGGAATTAAATCGGAAAGGAATTTTTTTTTAAAGTAGCACCTAAAAGTAACAGTAATAAATAGGGATAATAAAAAAGGGAGGGAGGGGGCAAAAAACAAAAAATGGAGAAACTCGGGTCTTCTGCAGAAAACAGCAAGCCCGGCCAGTGGCCAAAAGAGGGTCCACCTTGCCCCACAGCTGGGTGGTGGGCTCTGCCTGAGAGACAGTGGGCAGCGGCTGCCAGCAGCGCCTGTTACAACGCCTCAGGCCCACCCTCTCAAATAGGGAGATTCAGGCTCGAGGTTCGCTGCACAGGGAAGACAGACTTACCACATAACGTGGGATACGGCAGACATGACCTTCCTTAGCTAAGTTCTTTCTGGTACTAAGTTCTCCAAATGCTCCTCATGTATGTTTCCTTCCCAAGTCCTACCATTGGCTATTTCTACTAAGGAATCCCGGTGCCTTTATTGGAAAGTGGTATGGAAGACTCAGTCTAAGAGAACTGAGAAGCTGTACCCTAAGGGCAATCAGCCCAATCATCACTTTAAGAGATTTTACAAAATATCCAAGCTATACCGGGGATTACAGCAAACAGTAGGCCTTCGTGTGAAACAGAGGCCCTGCCGAGAGCAATCCTTAATGAGGGAGAGAATGTTAAAAGATCTTTCCAAAGCACTGACCTCTCTAAACTTAGTTCCTCAACTGAAAATTGGGATAACCTTGGCCGGTGTGGCTCAGTTGGTTGGGCGTCATCCTGGGCACTAAAAGGTTGCCCAGGTTGTAGGCCAAATCCCCAGTAGGGGGCATGCAGGAGGCAGCTGATTGATGTTTCTCTAACATCAATGTTTCTCTCCCTCTCCCTCCCTCTCTTCCTCAATCTTCTAATATGGTTATTAGAATTAAGCAAGAGGACCTTTTAAAATGTCTTGAAATAATACCTGGCACATAGCAGGCACTTAATAAATTTTAATTTCTTAATTTTAAAAAAGGCAGCATGGGACTTTGACCTCTGATGCAATAATTGGGTCTACTTTACCAAAATGATTATTTCATTTATAGATTTTATTCTAAAAAATAAGTAAATAGAAAATGTTTTAACAATTATTTGATACTTTCCTTTTAGGAAGAGATCCATTTCTCTTTATAACCCAGGTATTATCTTACAATTAAGTGATACAGTAATGACAACAATTTCATATTTCACTTCTAAGCTAATTCCAACCGTCTTTTTGCTAGTTCAAAAGCCGTAGCGCTGATGATTGTTGCAGGAAGCACTTTTATGATATTTGGGGTGAGGCCCCTGAAAAAGCCCATTTTTCCTTCTTTGTTGTATATATGTTGAACGAGACGAATCATGGTAGTTGTTTTTTCCTTCTGCGCTATAAATTGGGGGGGGGGGAAATCAGTGTAATTTAATATTTAATCTTCATATAGTAAGATAGTACAGTGATTAACGAGAATTTACAGGGGGTGAAATTACTTCAGAGTACACCTGATTCCCTACCTAGAGAATAGTCCCATGTGGTCCAATACCATAGTCACTAGACACATGTGGCTATCTGAATCTAAATTAATTAAAATTAAGTGAAACTAAAAATTTAGTTTCTCAGTTGTACGACACTTCAAGTGCCTGACAGCCAGTGCGCTGTGCAGCTGCGGCAGACATGAAGGCTTCCGCTCCTGCAGGAGCTTGGCTGAACGCACCGGAAGTCTTCAGTGAGGGACATCACAGGAGACTGGGAATGGGGTGTGACGTCCAGAGTCTGCTGAGGCATGGGCAGATGATGGGATGGATGGAGAGTTTCCCCACCCAGAATGCCATGTAAATTAAACCCCAAGATCTTCCCAAAAAGAAGGAGGGGGGAGAGTGTAAACGAATATTGCTTACCACAGAACCCCTTAAAGCAGGCGTCTTCAAACTACGGCCCGCGGGCCACATGCGGCCTGCCAGGTTTTTTGGGCAGTGATCGCAGCCGAGGTGTTACAGTAGGAATTAGTAGTTCATATAGTCCGGCCCTCCAGCTCTCTGAGGGACCGTGATCTGGCCCCCACTTTAAAAAGTTTGAGGACGCCTGCAAGGAATTTACTCAGGAAGATACTAACAGGATTATGTGAGAGGTTTGTTTTGTTTTGTTTTTTCAGCTTGAAGGGTATTTTCTTAAAACCTAAATTCCTGACTTTGCACCTAAGAGGAACAAGCAGATGCCCTCCCTTCTGTTTTATGTTTCCTCGCCAAAGAGAACAAAACAACGCGTTCAACTGCACAAAGGTATTAAGTTCTCACTGCAGATTGTGGCAAAGAAATTCCAAGTTCATACTGAGTTACTGCTGATTCAATCTGAGGAAAGGAAAACCTTTCCTACTGCTCTGCTCGGTGCTTCCTAGCCGTAACTCTGGAGAACGAGCACCAGGACAAATGTGGAGAGTTCCACAGAGAACTTTGTAAAGGAAAGGAGATCTAAACTCCACAAAAGGCTCTACCATCATTCAAGGTCATGCTTTAACAATCAGAAAGTTAGCTTTTTATTTAGCAGTCCTACAGTTTTTCTGACTTTGAAATCAATTTCTACTCAATTAAAGCAACCTGTTTCAACTTTTTAACTTTGTTTTTTTATTTTTAATTCATGGAATTGATACTTTTATTACTTCTTTATTTTATTAGCTTCTTAAAATTTGTTTTTTGTTGCTATTAATCCTCACCTAAGGATATTTTTCCATTGATTTTTAGAGAGAGTGGAAGGGAGGGGCAGAGGCAGAGAGAGAGAGAAACATCGATGAAAGAGGGACATTGATTGCTGCCTCCTGCACTCACCCCAACCAAGGGGCCAAGGATCAAACTGCAACCTTGGTATTAAACCTGGAGCCCTCAGTCTGCAGGCCTATGCTCTATCCACTGAGCCAAATCAGCTAGGACAATTTTATTAGCTTTTTTAATTTATTCTTACTTCATTTAAAAACCCACACACTCACCTTGAGCCTGCATGCGTGTTCTAAGAAGGGTCAGAGGGAAGCTGGCTACCTGAGCACTGGTGTTGGATAACGTGGTAAATCCCAGCAAAATCATTAAGCTAGGTTCTACAGAGCTTTCTGCATTACGTTCGAGCCAATAGTTCTTCAAACTCTGGAGGAGGAGAAAGCAGGAAACACCCTTTAACTACTGTATAGATCAAAGCGGGAGAAATTCATTGTTCACACAGGAAACATTACTGAGGAGCTTCTTGATACTTTCAGTTAATCCCTCAGAAACCTGACAAGTCAGTAGAGTTGCCTCCATTTTATAAATTTCATAAATGAGGGAACTCATTCAGAGAGACTTGTGTTTTCAGGTCAGAAGCTATTTCATGAAAAGTAATTATTACCAATTTTTAGGATAAAAACTGTTATTGCACCAAATTTTCCAACATAACACATAATGTCACATTATGGGGATAAACTCACCTCATAAACACTGAGTTCTATGCCTGCATAAGGTATAATGCTTAGCATGTTAGGGACATAGCCTTTGTAAAAGGTCCTAACACCTTCTTGTTTCAGAAGCTTCTTGCCACAATTAATAATCCCTGAGTACTCTCCAGTTTTACCTACAGTCAGTCTGGTCTTTATCACCTAAATGTGGAAGAACATATTGAAAACATATTACCAGAGTCACTCAGCTCACCTAGCAATCTAGAAAGCTATGGTGTATCACCATGTTTACTAATTATCATAGAAATAAAAAAAGAAAGCAATCTTAAACATAATTTTGATTCATTGTTAACTGACTCAAGCATGAGCTTTAAAAAAAAAAAATTTAAACAGGAGAATATAACTCATCACTATGGCTCTAATCGATACATCCAATCAAACCCCCTTACTGGGCTTGGGTTTCCTAGGCAATGGAAGAAGCCAAACTTTCTGCCTGCCCTAGCTGGCCTAAGCCTCCACTCAAGGCTATAAAGTTTCAATTGTAGAAGGTAAACAAATCCAAACAGAAACAGCTGCCACCACTGAGCGAGCAGGAGGCTTGGCTCTGCTCCAGGCTACAAAGTTTCAATTGTAGAAAGTAACTATATTCCAGATACCCCAGCCTCTGCTTGGGTGGCTGGGGGTTGTGGCCAGCCTGCTTTGGAACCACTGCACTAAGGCCAATTGATACTTGATATGAGATTTAAATCCAGTAGCTATAAAATTGATCTGTGATTCACTTGTGTCTTTAAAAAATTAGAAAGTATTACTTTATTAAAAATTTATAATAATACATACCTCTATGGGGTAAATACAGGTCTGAGCAGTTACACCAGCCATTGAACCAGATATAAATCTCTGAGTAATTTCTATTTTAGCATCATCAAAACTAAGCCATTGCTTATACTGTATAAATAAAAGTATTGAAATGTACAATGTTACTGAAATGGATTATATATTGTTTCTAAGTTTATAATATTAATTAGTACTATAAAATTACTTGGAAAAGTATTATAGATATCTGAATTAGCATCTAGTAGAATACCTTGTTTCAATTTTTATGCAATTGTCTAAGATAATAAGAGCCTCTTCCCATTTTTTCTGAAGAATAAGTCAGCGATATTAAGTCACTTAAGCATTTCCATGAATGTCATATGTAAGCATTTTCATAAAAGGCATACAAATGACATAAAGGGTGCAGGGAATCTAACTTTTATCTCTTTTTAGCCTCTCACCTTCCATGTGGAAGGTACTAAATATTCCTTGGTAACTGGGTAATCAGGAATCATAACCAGGTAAATTGCGTTTGTTACAAGGAACAAGTTTGCTCTGGTTAGCTCAAGAAACAGGGAGGATACTGCAACAGCACAAGTGGAAATGAGGAAAGCACCCTAGCTGGTTTGGCTCAGTGGACAGAGCATCAGCCTGCAGACTGAAAGGTCCCAGGTTCAATTCCAGTCAAGAGCATATGCTTGATTCCCCAGTAGTGGGAGGGGGGCGGGCAGGAGGCAGCCAATCAATGATTCTCTCTCATCATTGATGTTTCTATCTCTCTCCCTCTCTCTTCCTCTCTGAAACCAATAAAAATATTTTTTAAAGAAATAAGAAAATCAGAAATACCAGCCTAAAGGTCAGGCTTCATATAAACTAAATAAGTCAAGTTTCTTGAGACTAAAACTGGAAACAAATTTAGAATCCAAGATAAGCTTAGCAAACAGATTATCTATCCTAGGCAAGATGCTTTCCTGTTTGCCTTTTCTAGTGGTCTCACATCAAAGCAATTCAGTTCCTCTTAAGAATTAACTCTCCGGTTCTCAAATCAGTGACTTCCCATCAGAAAGTATGATTGGTGCAGTTGATATGGCAGACACTGCTGTCTGTTCCTAGTACTCATTACTATCTTCTGTTTAGTAACAGCCAACTCAACAATAAACTACATTTCCCTCATCTTTTTTGCAGCTAGGTCGGGTGGCTAAGTGATTCATTTTGGCCAATGAGAAAGAGGGGAAATTGAGTATGCAAATTATGAGACGTCTTCTTAAAGATTTTTGGATGGCTCTTTCCTCTACTTGGGAAATGGCAGAGGGGTGTGACTTTTGAAGCTGAGTGTTGAAGATGGCAGAGCTATACCGTTAGCCCTGGACCACTTGCCTCTAGCACATTTAAGCTAATGTATCTTGGTATTTCTTTGATACAACATCTCAGAATGAACCCTAACAAGTACTGAAATTGGTGACTAGCTGTGGGGTGCTGTCATAATTAAAACCAACAATATGTGACCCTGTTAGGACACAGATACTGCAATCTGAGTCCAAAGCTTTGTGGAAATGTTGCCTCCTGTGTTAACCTGGAAGGGAGACCATGTGCTTTCTGAGCCTGAAGTTCTAGGAAAATGGATTGTAAAATCTCAGAATTTTGGTCAGTGTTGCCCACTCCTTGCCGCTTTTAGTGAGGTCATGAGACATGACTATGGCATCTCTCTGCTTTTCTTTCCTGGGCCTTTTCTGAAGCTGTCGGAGCCTGGCCAACCCAGAAAATGGAAACCTTGAGATGTGCATAGAGCACTCTTGGACTCTCATGTGATGCTAATAGATTACACTATTTAAAAACATATATAGCTCACCTTAACATTAATTGATTAAGTACAACTAAAATCTTAAATCAGATTAACAAATCTAAAATAAAACATTCAAATTGCTTAAGGGAAAACCAATGTTGAAATGTTTTAGAGGGCTTCCTTCACTGTGATACTGAAATTAAAAGAACTAATAATACACATCAGTTATGATAATATACTATAATCTATGAAACATTTCTTTCTTTTATCCTTACCCAAGGATATTTTTCCATTGATTTTTAGAGAGAGTGGAAGGGAGAGGGAAAGACAGAGACAAATATCGACGTGAGAGAAACACTCAGTTGGTTGCCTCCTGCACCAACCTTAACCAGGGCCCGGTTGAAACTGAGTTACATGCCCTTGACTGGAATTGAACCCAGGGCCCCTTGGTCTGCTGGCTGATGCTCTGTCCACTGAGCCAAATGGGTAGGCCATGAAACATTTCTTATAAACAAAAGCAATATAAAAATGAAAGTAACCAAATGAGAACAAAACCACTTATATTTAAGTTAACATCTACTGCTTGACACTCCAGTTTTCTCTCATGAAAATCTGGACTTTTTAAAACATTAAATTTTTAAGCTGATTTTTGTTGTAAAATCCCACAGATGATAGCATTTTACCTGTTCATAGGCCCCGATCTTGATGGCCGTCTCAGGCGCAATTTTGAAAACATTTGTACCATTTCCTCGCCAAAGAGAACGAATTCCTCCTTCTCTTATCATCAGCTCAAACCCACCAATTATCTTCATTCTCCTTAACTCTTGACTATGAACCTATAAAAACAAAGAGAAGGAAGATATTCTAGCCTAACTAATAGGGCTGTGCCTCATCGTGTGAGGCCCAGAAGAGCAGGGAGAATCTGCAAACTTCCCAATTTCTCTAAAGATGATGATGTCCATCAGTCTGTTGTCAGAAAGCTCCAAAACACAGAAGGTGTGAAACCCAGGACTGAAGTCCCCAAGATTCAGCACCTTGCTGCTTCACGTGTCCTGCAACTCTCCCATCAGCTATTGCTCTGAAGCAGCAGCACAGTAATAAAACTAAGGAAGAAGTGCAGAGTCCCGAGGCTGCAGAACTGGGCCAGGACAGTGGTCGGCAAACTGTGGCTCACAAGCCACATGCGGCTCTTTGGTCCCTTGAATGTGGCTCTTACACAAAATACGATGGCTTGGGCGAGTCTATTTTGAAGAAGTGGCGTTAGAAGAAGTTTAAAAAATGTGGCTCTCCAAAGAAATTTCAATCGTCCTGTTGCTATTTGGCTCTGTTGACTAATGAGTTTGCCGACCACTGGGCCAGGAGAATGAAGGAAGACAAAGAAAAACACCAGGAACAGATCGCCAAGAGACAGAGGCTATGACCTTTGGCAGCTCAGTTCCACCCTCTAAATCTGAGTCAAAATAAGATTCTCTAAGATCTTAGAAAATAAAATCAAACATCACAACAAAAGAGCCCTAGCCAGTTTGGCTCAGTGAATAAGGTCCTGGGTTTGATTCCAGTCAAGGGCACATGAACGGGTTGCGGGCTCAAGCCCCAGTAGGGGGCATGTAGGAGGCAGTAGATCAATGATTCTCATCATCGATGTTTCTATCTCTCTCTCTCTCTTCCTTCCTCTTTAAAATCAATAAAAATATATTTTTAGCCAAAACCGGTTTGGCTCAGTGGATAGAGCATCGGTCTGCAGACTGAAAGGTCCTAGGTTCGATTCCGATCAAGGGCATGTACATTGGTTGCAGGCACATCCCCGATGGCAGGTGTGCAGGAGGCAGCTGGTCGATGATTCTCTCTCATTGATGTTTCTAGCTTTCTATCCTTCTCCCTTCCTCTCTTTGAAAAATCAATAAAATATATTTAAAACATATATATAACTTTTTTAAACCCACAAACAACAAAAGAAAACCTATTCAAAATCCAATACTAATTTTCATGATGTTACCAAAAATCCAAAAGACAATAAAATACCAAGGTGTGTAAATTTAATTACAAATTAAATTCACTATGTTGTATATTATTAATTTTTGTATCCTTGAAAAGAAAATATTCAGCAAATTAAATTTTAATTATTTAACAGATTAAATCATGCAGTATTTCATAACTACCATTAACAATTCATTACTCAGTAAAATAAAAAGTAATTAAACATTAACTCTAAAGAGATATTAGTTAATGATATACTCCAAGTAACTTAATTTCCATTTTTAGGTAGATTCTTAGTACTTAAATAGTAGAGTAGAACCATGCTATCAGGCAGTGTCAGAAGCTAGAAATAACTATTAATAATAAACTAGACTAATGGTGTCTTATCACTTCTTTAATAGATTTAGCTACATTTCGGGGGGGGGGGATCTAATAGAGTGGTTCTATTATTATTTCAAATAAAAATTCATTTAAACAGCATATAAGCCTCTAAGAAATTAAGAAATCTGCTGAAACCAGTTTGGTTCAGTGGATAGAGCATCAGCCTGCGGACCGAAAGGTCCCAGGTTCGATTTTGGTCCAAGGGCATGTACCTTGGTTGCGGGCACATCTCCAGTAGGGGGTGTTCAAGAGGCTGCTGATTGATGATTCTCTCTCATCGATGTTTCTAACTCTCTATCCCTCTCTCTTCCTCTCTGTAAAATATTAATTTAAAAAAAAAGAAATTAAAAAATATTTTAATATCAAAAATAAGATGTCTCCTCTGCCAATTACCTGATAAAACGTAAAAACAGAACTAGTTTATAGAGAAAAGTATAAACACTTGATAAATTAAATGAATTTAAAAATGTAAACACTTCTACATTTTCAGAAAATGCACAACTTTAACGACTAGTATGAAAAATGCCAAAACATTTCTTTTGAAAATTATCAAGGAATTTTCAAATGACTTTAACGCCGTCACCTGCATCATGACTCTCAGACGGTCAAAAGGGGCCGTGCACGTCCTTGAAAACGCGCTAGCTATTCCTCCTGCCACCAAACGCCGCCACCAACGTCCAGAACTCTTTTCTTGCTCAGTGAAGTCATCTGGAATAGCTATGCTCTCCCCTATGTCAATCATCTAATAAAATGGAAACACTAGATACATTAAGAGGATACTTTTCTTTTACAAAGATTAAAAATCACAAGTTTTTTTTTTCATCTCTCATCTCCCTGATAATGAAGACTAACGATGTTCTTAGCACTTGTACTAGGTCAGTGGTCGGCAAACTCATGAGTCAACAGAGCCAAATAGCAACAGGACAACGATTGAAATTTCTTTGGAGAGCCACATTTTTTTAAACTTGAACTTCTTCTAACGCCACTTCAAAATAGACTTGCCCAGGCCGTGGTGTTCTGTGGAAGAGCCACACTCAAGGGGCCAAAGAGCCGCACGTGGCTTGCGAGCCTCGGTTAGCCGACCACTGTACTAGACCAAATAATTTTTAATAATGCATTCAGATATAGGTTTACTATAAAATCAATGCCCACTGATGAAAGAAATTGAAGACACAAATAAATAGAAAGATATATGGTGCTCATGGGTAGGAAGTGTTAATATTGTTAAAATGTCCACACTACCCAGAACCACCTATAGATTCAATATAATCCCCATCAAAATGGGGCGGAAGAAGGCAAAAGTGGACAAGTTCCCACTCTGTGGCCACATGGTGTCAGATGAATATGAGCAGCTCTCCTCCAAAGCCCCAGAAGCTGCCCGTATTTGTGCCAACAAGTACAAAGTCAAAAGCTTGGCAAAGATGGCTTTCACCTCCAGCGCAGCTCCACCCCTTCCACATCATCCGCATCAACAAGATGTTGCCCTGTGTGGGAGCTGAGAGGCTCCAGACAGGTGCCTTTGGAAAGCCCCAGACCACGTCATCACGTCCATCCGCACCAAGCTGCAGACCAAGGAGCATGTGATTGAGGCCCTTCGCAGAGCCAAGTTCAAGTGCCCTGGTCACCAGAAGATCCACTCCAAGAAGTTGGGTTTTACTACATTTAATGAGGATGAGTTTGAAGACAGGGTGGCTGAAAAGCCGCTCATCCCAGAGAGCTGTGGGGTCAAATACATCCATCATCGTGGTCCCCTGCACAAATGGGGAGCCCTGCACTCATGAGTCTCAGTGCTGTCTGCTCCTTACAGCCACCAGGAAACCCTACTTCCTAACCACAATAAAAACAAATTAAAAAAAACAGGTTCATAGGAGCGGAGAGAGAATGGTAGTTGCCAAGGGCTGGGGAGTGAGGAAATGGGGAGGTGCTGGCCAAAGGGGACGAACTTCCAGTTCTGAGATGACCGTGTTCTGGGGGTCCCAGGTAAAGTAGAAACAGTAATTTATGTGAGGTGATGGAGGTCTTCGCTAACCCTCCTGTGGTAGTCATTTCACAATATCATGTCATACACCTTAACTTACAAATGTTATCTACCGATCCTTTCTCAATACATTTGAAAAAACAGACCAAGATTTAAATGCAGTAGGGATCTGCCAAAATCGGTTTGGCTCAATGGATAGAGTGTCGGCTTGGGGACTGAAAGGTCCCGGGTTTGATTCCGGTCAAGGGCATGTACCTTGGTTGTGGGCATATCCCCAGTAGGGGGTGTGCAGGAGGCAGCTGATCGATGACACTCTCTCATCGATGTTTCTAACTCTGTATCTCTCTCCCTTCCTCTCTGTACAAAATCAATAAAATATATATTTTTTTAAAAATAAATAAATAAAATGCAGTAGGGATCAATGAAATGCACATTAAACCAACAAGATATCATTTTATGTCCAACAAAATGGCAAATATCGGAAAATTAGGTAATACCCAGTCACAGTAATATAGAGAGAAGCAGGAACCTTCTGGCACTGTTGGTGGGAGTGAGCTGGCGTAGCAAGCCATTCTGGGAAATAACATGGCTAGATGGCATTCTGGAAAATGGAGACTCAGTACCCTAAAAATATTATAAATGCATATTTCTTCTGATTCAGAAACTCAGATAATATTCTTTAGGATGCAGTTGAGAAAGGCTTTTTTTTGGGGGGTGGGGGTGGGAATTGGAAAAAACACTATGAGGAGAGATTACTGTTTCATTAGCCACTGAGGCTGAAAGTATTATAGGGATTATGTGACTGACCACAATAACAGCTATGACACTTATGACATATAAAAAATACAAACTAATCTTACAGCAGAATGCTTCCAGAAGCCAGCAATTTCACCCATATTTTTTGCAGGATGAAGTAAAAAGTAGTATTTCCATTCATCCCAGTCTACTGTCATTGTTCCATCACTGTCCATGCTAGAATTTAAAAAACAAAGAATGCTTAAACACTTATAACAAAGGTAAAAGTTAATTAAGTGCTTCTTACATATTTATGATAGAAAACATTCCTTTGAACTTCATGAACATTGCTGTACTTTCATATTTAAATAGATATACTTTATTTTTTATAAAAATTGAGAATACAGCCCTGGCTGGGTGGCTCAGTTGGTTGAGCATTGTCCTGTACATGAAAAAACTGCATGTTCAACTCCCAGTCAAGACACATACCTAGGTTGGGGGTTTGAACCCCAGTTGCACATATAGAAAGCAACTGATCAATGTCTGTCTGTCTGTCTCTCTCCCTCCATCCCTTCCTCTCTCTCTCTCTCTAAAAATCAATAAAAACATATCCTTGAGTGAGGATTTTTTTTTAAACTGAGAATATAATACAGAGTTATACCCATTTTCCTCTAATGGTATCATCTTACATTATTATGGTACATGTTACAATTAATGAACTAATATTAATACATCATTAACTAAAGTTCACACTATCCTCAGAGTTCCTTTGTTTTTAACTAATGTTCCTCTTTTGTTTTAGGATTTTGAGGTAGTCATCATGTCACTTTAGGCTCCTCTTGACTATGAGAGTTTCTCAAATTCCTTGTTTTTGGTAACTTTGACAGTTTTGAAAAGTATTGACCAGATATTTTGTAGAATGCCTCGCTGACAGAATTTTAATTATTTACTTATATTTCTCTCACACGTGCCTTGCTCTTTTAAAGGGAAAGGCTATTTAAAGTCACTTCTATATTGCTAGCACTAAGCACTCAATAAATGTTTGTTGAATGAATAAATGAATAAAATTGACTAAGGATGAACCTTATACCTTATGAGTCTTCTAATATTTTTCCTCTGAACCTCTTTTCCCTACTTATAGCTCTTAAATCAACTTTAAAATAACCTCTTACTTATGAATTTAAAGAGAAGACTCACTTTTTACCATGAGAAATTTAGGGCTTACTCAACTTTTAAGCATCTTAAAATAAAATAAAAAATACAATAGCTGTTGTTTCTTTGAAATCTGAGTTAAAGGTGGAATTAAATGAGAGAAAATTGGAGAAAACACTAAAAGTTGCATTTTTCTCAATGGAAATTCTAAAAAGCAAATTCCATCCACCAACAAAAGGATCAGTATGATATCCAGTCCTAGCCAAGATGAAATAATTGGTGTAGAATTTATCCTCTTACTATGAACCATTTCAAAACTGAACACAACATATATAACTAAATTATATAACTCCATCCGACTACCAAACATAGTTATTAGAGGGCTGAAAGCTTAACGGAAATCCTGAAGGTGAGCAATGTTGAAATAAAGGAAGGGAGAAAGAGAAAGAGAGGGGGAGGGATGGAGAGACAGAGGAAGAGAAGGAGAGAGGGACGGGGGAAGAATGGGCTATGGGCTATATTTATAGAAATTCATTTCTAACTTAGAATATTAAACAAAAATGAAAACTATTAAAAATAAGAAGGGCTGACCTTTGGAGAATTTTTTTTGCCTGAGCTTCAGTAATATCTATACCCAATGACTTCAAACCAGCGATTATTTCTGAAGTTTCTATTACTCCTTTAAAAAGTGAAAAAAGGTCAAGTTAAAGTCTCTGAGAAGATAACAAGGCAAAATATACTTAGAACACAACAGTCTTAAAAAGCCCATTCTTTTATAGGCCTCTCATCTCATATTCACAGCCTAAAGACTAAAAAGCTCTAAAAGTAAAAGACATTTTTGTCAACTACACTTTCATTAAAAAGGGCTTTACATTCCAGAACTTTAAAAAATAAAAAATGTTTAGTAAATGTGGCACTAAAATATTTGTTGGCAAAACATGTCTTAAACTGATGTGAAGTTAATGTTAATCGATTATTTATCTATTTACTGTTATGCATTTGTTTCATTGACAGAATACTCATGTACAGTTGACATTGGAACAACACATGCTTAAACTGTATGGGTCCACTTTTACATGATTTTTTTACAATAAATACAATAGAGGATTTGCATCCAATAGTTCTGCATCCCAGGAGTTCAACCAACCTCTAAGATTCAACCAATCTATTACCAAAAACAGTATTTTCGAATTCCCAGTCATGGTTATGTATAACTACAAATTAAAAATACTCTTTTCAGCCTGGCGGGCGTGGCTCAGGGGTGGAGCATCGACCTAGGAACCAGGAGGTCAGGGTTCGATTCCAGGTCAGGGCACATGCCCAGGTTGCGGGCTCCATCCCCAGTGCGAGGTGTGCAGAAGGCAGCCGATCCATGGTGTTCTCTCTCATCATTGATGTTTCTATCCCTCTCTCCCTCTCCCTTCCTCTCTGAAATCAATAAAAATATATTTAAAAAAAAAATACTCTTTTCACCCTAGCTGGTTTGGCTCAGTGGATAGCAAGTTAGCCTGCAGTTGAAGGGTTCCGGGTTCAATTCCAGCCAAGGGTACATGCCCAGGTCGCAGGCTCGATCCCCAATCATGCAGGAGGCAGCCCATCAATGATCTATCTCATCACTGATGTTTCCATCTCTCACTCCTTCTTCCTCTCTAAAATCAATAAAAATATGTTTAAAAAATATATGTGAAGAATATTAAATGAAGCAGAAATGCTTACATGATAGCATTAAAAGAAAAAAGTAAGCCCAGCCAGTATGGTTCAGTGGTTGAGCGTTGACCTATGAACCAGAAGGTCACAGTTCGATTCCCAGTCAGGGCACATGCCCAGGTTATGTGCTCAATCCCCAATGTGGGGCGTGCAGGAGACAGCCGATCAACGATTCTCTCTCATCACTGATGTTTCTATCTCTCTCTTCCTCTCCCTTCTTCTCTGAAATCAATAAATAATTTTTAAAAAATCAGTGTAACTGCAATTGTATCTAAAGAGAGAGAAAAGAAACCAAGGAAAAAGAACAAACAAAAAGTCTAAAAGGAAATATAAAAATAAATTAAAATGCTAAATCTGATCTCTACACAGCAGCATTACAAGTAACTTTTACTTTCTTACAGGTTTTCTGTGTTACCTATCTTTCCTGCAACTGAAATATTTTCAAAATAAACAAGAAAACAACAAATATCATTTTTTTAAACTACCATGACATATACTGCAAATGAATGGAGAGACCTACCCACTCAGCCAAGTAGCATAACAGAGGGCAAAAACTATTTCATTAAAAGATGGTAACCAAAATTAATTAATTAATTTTTAAAAAAGATAGTAACCACACAGAAATTGTAATAATAAATACAGTTTATATGTTATTTTTAGAAATTAAAAAAAATGCTGCTAAACAAGTAACAGAATTGAATCTTTGATAGCAGGAGTTAGTTAAAGGCTAGTAAACATATCCTTTGGTACTGCTATTCATGCTAAGCTAATTGTGAATAAAACATACACATACACACCGTCCTTATTTAAGTCCAGACTATTAAATGCCAGCCTCATTTTTTTCTCATGGTCATTAAGGTATCGCAAAAACTCTTTGAAGTCCAATCCTGAGTCAGCATTGGTATCTACAGCTTTAAAAATTTCCTGCAGGAAAGCAGAAACCATTGCAGAAACACATGGCAAGGGAAGCCCCTGCACCATTCCAACATGGGTTTCATCATACAACATGGGTGAGTTTCATCACGCTAATTATGATTTCCATCCAAGCCATTGGCCTAGTTTTTCAATCACAGCTACAAAGCTAAGTAAGTAATCTTTAAAAACAAAAAAACAAGTGTGCAACACTAAAGTCAATAGCCACGTCATTCCAAATAATTATGATTCTTAGAAGAATTGATCTGTGGATATTAATGAATGCCAAATACTCTGAAAGCATAAAGATACCAAGATACATAGTTCTTGCCATCAGAAACTCACGCTCTACTAATTAAATGAGATAAAATATGTGAAATTCTAGCCGGGCCGCTGTTGCTCAGTGGTTGAGCATCGGCCCATCAACCAAGAGGTCACCAGATTCAACCCCTGGTCAGGGTACATGCCAGGTTGCTGGCTCAATCCCCAGTAGCTGGTGGACAGGAAGCAGCCAATTGATATTTTTCTCGCATCAATGTTTCTCCCTCTCCCTTTCTCTCTCTAAAATCAATAAAAGCACATTTTTTAAAATGCTTAAAGATAACATATTAATGATTAAGTCATTAATCTGAAGGGATTGAGCTGAGTGGGAGGATAGAAGTATGAGATAAGGAGATAAAAGTTAATTCAAAGGAGCAGTTTTGGGCGCACTGAAGGAACTCCCCAAGCCACAGGGACGTTTGGACTTCATACACACAGGCACACACATCTCACTGGTGCAACAAGTGGGGTGGTACCTGAAGACTGTCCCGCATTGAAAGAGGGGAAATGGAACAATTGTTTTCTCTGGACATGCTGTCACTTCCATCCAAACCAGTGGCTCTCAACCTTCCTAATGTCTCAACCCTTGAATACAGCTCCTCGTGTGGTGGTGACCCCCAGCCATAAAATTATTTTTGTTGCTACTTCATAACTGTAATGTTGCTACTGTTATGAATCGTAATGTAAATATCTGTGTTTTCCGATGGTCTTAGGCGACCCCTGTGAAAGGGTCATTCGACCCCCAAAGGAGTCACGACCCACAGGCTGAGAATGGCTGATCTAAACCATTTTTAAATAATCAAGTCAAAGACCCGTCTAGAGAAGAAAAGCGCCCCTACTAGTAATTAGGGCAATGAACTCAAAACAGGCAGTGAACTAAAAACCATCAGCTACAGTACTGTCAACCCCTGGATCAGAGTCTGCCTCTCCCCAAACCCTGTGGATGTCAGAAAGACACAGCAGCTCTGGGGCCCCATCTGTGCCTGTCTTGAGGTGGGACTGTCCTAATCAAAGATGTCTTTTACTCCCGCATTCACAAAGGCTCCTAGGATTCTGTGCAGGGTCAGCACATGGTGACTGAGTCATCAGAAACCCCACCGGGCATTTCCCAAAATGCCCAGGAGACGGCTTCGTGCGGGAGGGGCTCACAGACGAGAGGTCCACCCCCTACAGCGCGGGCCTCGGAAAGAAGCTCCAGAAAGGGCCTCCCCCTCTCCTCAACGTCCCCCTGGCCTGCCTGAGCCACGTTCTCAGAGTCAAGCACCTTCTCCGAATCTATGCCAAACGTGGAGTTCCAGATTTTCAGCCCTTCTCGGAGCTCTATGATGTCCACCACCCCGTCCCCGTTGTGGTCTAGCTCTTCGAAGAGGATCTCATAGGAGAAGGGGTCATCGTCCTCCTGGCAGGCGGCCATGGGCAGCACGAAGCCCCGCAGCCAGCGCAGCATGGCCCCGCTGGTGCTGCCCTGGCCTCTGGGCCCGAGCGAGGCTGTCCCGCCCTTCGGTTGTGCCACCTGCCGCCGCCTCCACGAAGAAGACCAAGACGACATGGCCGCCGCCAGGAGGCTGATCCAAGCCGTCAGTGCGGCCATGGCAACCGCCTGGCAGAGCCCCTGTGGTTCCGGGTTCCAGGTTCCGAGCCTTCCGAGGCCAGGACACCGGAACCACAGTGGGCGCCTCCGGGCTCTCTGGTGGGCGCACTCAGACAGGACCTTCGGGCACGAGGCCTCACGGGAGTCCTGCAGGAGCCGACCAGGAGGTGCTTCCGGTTAACCCGGAAATAGAGGTTGACCCGGAAGTAGAGGGTTGTATGGGGCCCGGAAGTGCATTCCCCTGGCTGTGTGGATCCACAGTTCCGTGTCCAGCATCTCCCAGCGCTGACTCGTTGTCTGACCTGGTGCCACCGCTCCACCCAGGGAAGGTCATTGCCCTGCGGTTGGGCCCCACTGACCCTGCAGGAGAGCTCTGGACAGGACAGCCTTCCCGCCATTCCCATCTCTGTCTTATCCATCCTCTACGAACCTGGATGTTTCCAAAAACCCGTCTGCTTCCTCGCCTCCCACTTGTCTCCTGGCACCACTGCAGCCTCATCTCAGCCACCACCACCTCACTGAACTTCTTTGTCGCAACATCCAGAGGGCGCTTTGAAATCCTTGCCTCCTTTCACCCCAGTCCTGTGTAGACACTGATGCCCAGGCCTTCCAGCTTGACACAGTTCCCTTTGTCTTCTGAGATGGCATGCATTCCCACAATGCCTCAGCGCCTCTCTGCTAAGGACTCTGGGTTTTCTAAAGTCCAGGCACTAGAGAATTGCAGGAGACATGGTTGAGGGGTTCTGGAGAAACCTAGTACTGACATTTATTGACCTGAAGCTTTGACATACAGTTGATTCTAGTCTACTCCCCCAAAAGGCTCTGCACCTGTTGGTTCCACTTAGTATGCACAGCTTAGGCATGATGGAGCGGGAAGACAGAACGTGGGATCCTGATGAACTGGGATCCTGATGCCATCAGCCTCTGGACCATGTTTATGTGCAACAGAAACAAACCCAGGCCAGAAGCCACCATTCTTTCTGGTCTTCCATCTAACTAATAAACATCCTCAATAAGCCACAATTAGTCAGAATAACAGGTAACCAGAAAAATACCCAGTTTAAATTACAATCAAAATGACTATGGATAGAGCGTTGGACTGAAGGGTCCCGTGTTCAATTCCCCATCAGGGCACATGCCTGGGTTGGGGGTTCGATCCCAAGTAGGAGGCGTGCAAGAGACAATCAATGATTCTCTCATCATTGATGTTTCTGTCTCTTCGCTTCCTCTCTGAAATCAATAAAAATATATTTTAAAATATATTTTTAAAAATAGCCGAAACCGTCTATATAGCTCAGTGGATAGAGCATAGCCTGCAGACTGAAAGTCCTGGGTTCAATTCCGGTCAAGGGCATGTACCTGGGTTGCAGACACATCCCCAGTAGGAGGTGTGCAAGAGGTAGCTGATCGATGATTCTCTCTCATCAATGTTTCTAACTCTCTATCCCTCTCCTTTCCTCTCTGTAAAAAATCAATAAAAATATTTTTTAAAAATTACTATAAACATAGGTTTAAAACTGTTAAAACATTTTGTCATTAAAGTAATTTGGGCATTCTAAATGAAGTCAATATTTTGAAAATAACTTAATTTTTTATGAATTCACATGGTGATATTTATGAAACAAAGAACTTTACAAACTAATGATAAATAAAGACTGTTATAATTATGCAAATTGCCTCTGTTTCATTTATCCACCATTTACAGAATATAGATACTCTGCTAAGCACTATGCTGGCTGCTAGAGATACAAAGATAAATGAGTCTTTAACTGACATTAAGCACTCGCAGACTGACAGAGACACAAGCAGATGATTTATGAAGAACTTATTGTCAATATATTTTTTATTCATGAACAGATTTTTTAGATTTAGCAAATGAACAAAAAATGCTTTAGTTATGAAAGAAATCCACTAAATGTAATTTGGCTCAGTGACCAGTAGAGGGTGATAGAACATCAGAATAACAGCATAAGAATGTATGGACCATGTAAACATAATTTAATATAAACATAATTTTTCTATAAACATAATTTATTCAACCAATACTTTTCCCCAAGCTCATTACATACTATGAAAAGTATATACTAGTAGATCCACTCTAAATAAAATGCATTCATGATATAGAAAAATACAATGAAACAATAAATTTTATTTATTCCTATTTTATCATTGTTTTACTTTTTTCCTCTATGTCCTATGCTATCATGAAAACTCACTAACCAGAGAAATACATTGCTTTTTATCATGTGTTACAAATACTGTTTATCTGTCTTATTGGTATCTTTCAGAAATAGTCAAGTTAATGAAACTCAATGTAATGTATGCGCCAAGCTAGCTATAGTTGTTGACAGAAAATAAATGATAAAATCTCTTTATGTTATCAGTGAGTAGTATTTTGAAGCTTGAAATTTGATCCCTCTTAGTTATGTAAATTTTTTTGCTATAATTCATGTATGTAATATTGAGATCAAAACTTTTTAAAATGTAACTAATAGAAAAGCATTTTGTATTAAGCCACTGTATTCTTTCTGCAAGAAGGAAAGAGAAAAAAAGCTTTTCTTCATCAGAATGCATTTTGTTTAAAATGAAAGTGCCTCTTGTTCAGACTACAATAGACAATTCTCCCTTTTGAAGGGCATCAATTGGCCATCATTTATGGAGTACCTACCAGATGCTCCATGTATGTGCTGTAACAAATTAACAAAAACTGGGTGACTTAAAATAAAAACAAAAAACATTTATTCTGTCACAATTTAGGAGGCCTGAAATCAAGGCCTCCTAAATCAATCAATTTAGGAAATCTGAAATCAAGGTGGGCTTCTTCTGGAAGCTCTGATGGAGAATCTTCCTGGCCTCTCTCCTAGTTTCTGGTGGTTGCCAGCAATCTTGGACTTGTAGCTGAATCCCTCCCATCTCTGCTTTCTTCTTCACATGACCTCTTCTGTGTGTCTCTCTGTGTCTTCACACGGTCTTCTTACAAAAAAACCAGTCTTGGATTGAGGGCCCACCCTAATCTAGTGTGACCTCATTTTAGCTGATTACATCTGCAAAAACCCTTTTCCAATAAGACCATACTCTGAGGTTGTGGGTGGAGATGAATTTTGGCAGAACACTATTCAACCCAGTACAAGTGGTATGCTAGCTTGTATTTCTTCAAATAAATCTTCAAAGAAATAAAATATTATTTCCTGTTATGGAAATAATATGGAAACTGAATTATTATATTCAGAATAGACGTATCCCAAAGTACAATCAATTGAGTCTTTTACTTTCCTTAATTTTCTTACTTTGTTTTACTTTTACTCTATTTTTATAATCAAGTGTTTATACTTTGCCATAATGGTTTTGAGATGTCTCACAATAAAAATATTTAGATAGTAATGCTCACAAAATAAAATGTATGTGGCTCTCTCTCAATAAACAGTATATGATTTTTTAAGACCCAGTGGAATCAAATATTTAATAATAAAGGAAGCTATAGTAAAACTCTATAAGTGGAATCCAAAAGTTCCATCATATGAAATTCACATTATCAAAATGTTAAAACATCCCTTTTCAATTAGCCTCCCAGTTATTATATATTTAATTTGTGTTCACTTATGAAATATGCAATAAATAGACGAATTTTTACAAATGTGCACAATACAATGAACTGAGAAAGCCCCAAGTTATCACAAAGTAGTCATTTTCAGATCCTTTACCCTGAAGAAGTTACCACCTTAAACTGGCCCCTCTGAGAACTGCAGGTGGGCGGAGGATGGGAGCCAACTGCCAACTGGGTTCTGTCTCAATTTACATGGCCTCGAAGACATCACAGTTTAAAGGAAGAACAGAAAGTCAAGACCAGAAACACTTAAGACACATATGATAAAGGAAGATGTGGCCAGTTGCACAATTCTCATCAGAAAGGAGGAAACATCATTTCGGGAGAACCCAAGTTTTTTGTAGTGATGACTTGTTTAAAAAAAAAAAAAAATCTCATTGAGTGACAAAGGGAGAAGATCATGTCCTTTAAAAACCTCTAAAGCAGTTGCACTAACAGGAAAGGTTGCTTCTTTGCAACTATTTTGTTCAAGTGGAGGCCATGATGTTGAAACAACTCAACCAAGGTAGTTATGGACGGGCGAAGATAACGACGACAGAAGTTAAAGGCACTGGAAGAGCCACTGAAACAAATGTCCTCAAACACACCTCCCAAAATGTCACCCTCCCGTGTGGACTCTCAGGCTTGTGCTCACTGATAAGAAAACAGAAAGCTAATATTCTGAGATGCTAGATCCGAACGTGCTTTAAAAACAGGTGAGCAGACAGTCGAGTTACATTCTCAAAGGAAATTAAAGAACCCAAATAGAACACTGGACAAATATTCTAAAATTTTCTACAAGGAAACTCAGAACTTTCCACAAGAAATCATTCTGAGGGCTTCAAGACCATCCAGTCAACACTGCAAAACGCTTTGTCTTCTCTACTTCCCTACCTCCTGAGGCCCAATGACAACACAGGGACAAAAATCCCAGAACAGCCAAAACCAGTTTGGCTCAGTGGATAGAGCATTGGCCTGTGGACTGAAGGGTCCCAGGTTCGATTCCGGTCAAGGGCATATACTTCGGTTGCTGGCACATCCCCAGTGGGGGGCGTGTAGGAGGCAGCTGATCAATGTTTCTAACTCTCTATCTCTCTCCCTTCCTGTTTGTAAAAAATCAATAAAATATATTTTTTTTTAAAAAAAAAAGAAAGATAAATATCTTGTGTGCTATTTTAAGAATCTCCGTTATAGATTTGAATGCAGTAAAAAGAAAAAAATCTATAAACCTCAGACACTGGGCTGACCAAGGAGGTTAGGTGAAGGTGACAAGAGGCACTTCTCCATCTCATCAGCCCGAGAGCGTATCTATATGAGAATAATGAAGCAACATTGCACACATGTAACCTGGACACTCATTATCGCAGTACCCAGCTCAAGACGTCCTGCGGGCATCACCCATTTTCATCTCTGGTAT